GGATATTCTAGGACGGTTCCACCAATAAAACCATATCATTTCATGATATCCGGGAAGCAGGTCTTCTGTGTAGTTGCTCTGCACCAGATCTGGCATTCATCCTGAGATTTCCATGGATTCCATCCTGAACATTCACAAAAAGGCCCATCCTTCTTTAAACCTGTCCTTTCCCCCAAGCCTTGGACTAAACTTAACTGTGGAGTTCTCAGGAATCCTCTATCTGAGGTGGGATATGTTGATTCTTCTCTGTCAGCATTCATTTTTTTTAATAAACTGTTGTGTTTTACTTTATTTTTAATATTAACATTTGAAACGTTAGTTATCCAGCGTTGTTATGGTGAAAGAGGTAGCCTTTTAAAGTTAATTAAAATAAATAAAAATGCAAAGACCTAGCTCTCTGGGGAAGTCTGTAATGCTGGGGAAAGTGGCAAGAAAAAGTAAAACAAGACAATTGGCAGCAAAGTGGATGAATTCTATTATAGCAGTGATGGTTGCACCCTTGCAAGACTTGAAGGGCCAGGTTCAGGACAGATCTGGAGAATATCTCTTCTTGTAGTCTCTAACAATTGTTGCTGACTTGATGGCACATAATCAGTAGCAGAATTAAGTAATAGAGCTATGAATGACTTAACAATTTCTGAGGATGAAATTATGACAACATCCTGGGCACGTCAGAAAAAAGATGTTGCTGGGATATGTTTGTACAACGGCTAGGTACAGGTGGGAAATGTCTAGTGAGTAGAACTGGCTTAAGAACCATCATACACAGAGAGGTAATAAGAGAAATGCAGCAAATTAGATTACTGGATTGGATTTGAGTTTAAAATTAATGGATAAATAATCAACTTGACTGCTCTAGTGTTTTCCAAAACTGCATGTTGGATTTTTTTTTCTTTTCCACATTTTTAGCATGAGATAGCTGATGCAAAGAAATGGGACAGCAAGATTTATAATGCTGTCTCCTATGGCAACTGTCATTTTGAAAGGTAAAACTATTGTAAATGTTGTATACTGTGTAGCTCTTCTCTTTTTCTATCTCTGTAGGATCTCTTAGTAAATAAACTTCATAAGGATACAAATGTAAAAATATTGTCTATTCCACTGCTACCCTCTGCAGGAAGAGGCACGTATGTCACTTATTTAATATGAATTTGCAAATTCTATCAAATTGAGAAAAGAGAGACTTTATTGTTGTTGTTTATTTACTTGTTTGAGCCAATACTGTAACTGTTTTCTGTGGAGTTTTTAAAAATGAAACTAAAGGCTACAATCCAGTTTGAATATAAATCCATTTGAAATAATATATTTATAAATGAAGAAAATGGTTTTTAGTTGCAATTTTTTCAGGAATATGGTTTTGCTGCTTATTTTGAGGAGGATGTGGGAAATTCATTCTCTATATGTCATGTAGTTACATTTCCATATAAAGTAAGGCTACCATATCTGGACTACAGAATCCAAGAAATAGAATTAAATTTTTATATGTATATTTTTGTTGTGCCTTGGTTATTTGGATTTTTGCAGCCCAGATAGAGTAGCCCCAATATTTATTTAGTAGATTGTTTGTTTGTTTATAAAATTTATAGGTTGCCAATATTACCTCATGGTAACTCTGGGCGGCTTACAATTATAATATAATCCCATGACTATTAACAAGACCAGAGGGCAAATGTTCTACTCCTGGATCTAATCTAGCAGAAGCCAATCCATGTGGTAGGATATTCCATGGCTATTTTAGCTGTCACTAAGCCTCCAGATAGTTTAGGATTAATTAAATTTCCCTAAATTAATCGGTTGATTGATTTATTTCACTATTTATCCATCCATCCCTTGCTTTGTAAAAAAAAATGCATGTGTTCTAATAAATATTCCAAAAGAGACTTTTAAAATTTTGGTCTTGCAAGGTGAAAAGTACAAAGTTCCACACATCTTGACATACTTGATCCCCTATTCTGAAGGAGAGTTCTAAGAAGATACCGAAGCATCCTGCTGTGTCAAGTCTAAAATCATAATTAAGCTAGCGTTCCATGTCCCAGAATGGTCCTCTGGAATCCCATACATCTATTAATCTTTTTGCTCCCCAGCAGCTAGCATTTAAGCTATTCTGTAAATGAACATTTGTCGAATGCCCACAATGCATCATGTAACAGCAATTTGCCAGCTTTACATGCATTCCAGCAATTTTTCAAAAAAATAAAACATACATATTTCAGCATCAGCATTTTTTTTTTTTTGGGTTTAGCATATCCTTGGTTTTAAAAATTTGAATGGGATTATTTGAGATAAAATAATATTTGCAGAATATACTTGCAGGAGTATATTCACCATCTATCCCAAAACGGTTTCCAAAAATGAGGGGCAGCATCTTTCAGGAAAATAATCTTGACTATGATGGCTGGATCCCAATTTCACAGGTGGCAGGGTTTATTTCCAGTATAACAGCCCATCTTAAATAATTTCAAGACCATTTCTGTTATTTGACATTTCAGTTGACATTAATCATCCCAGAGATATTTTTGTTAACAACTTCACATATTCTATAGATCAGGGCTTTTCAACCAGTGGTACGGGTACTACCTGTGGTACATTGGCACCTGGCAGGTGGTATGTGACCATCCTAGAAAAGTGGTAATGGGGAAGGGAATGAGCTGAATTGGTGGCAGTACCGCACAAGCCTGAGCGAGAGATGGCTGGAGCTGCAGGGCTGTCAGGGCTCAACGGAAGTGCCAGGATCAGTGCCGCTTTCCAGCTGATCGGTGCTTCTTCAGGGCTGTCAGGGCTCAGTGGAAGTGCCAGGCTCCAGCTGGAGCTCGGTGCTGATCCTGGCTCTTCTGCTGAGCCCTGAAGAAGCACCAATCAGCCGGAAAGTAGCACTGATCCTGAGGCTTCTGCTGAGCCCAGAAGAAGCGCCGATCAGCTGGAATGTTGCAGCATCTCCAGGGTCTTGTGATTTACATTCAGATGCTTGGCAACTGATTCATATTTATGACGGTCACAGTGTCCCAGGGTCATGTGAAGTGACCAAACCCTGCTGCAACCACCCAGCAGATGGGTGGGGGAATAAAAACCAAACACCCCCACCCCTGCTGCCAATCCTCAACAGAAATGCTCACAGCAATGAAAACCTCAGACAGGAGGAAGAGCGCCACCGGGTGGGCAGGCAGGCGTCTTGCTCGGCTGTGGCTTGGGAGGCACTTTTTTCAGTGCCATTGTAACTTCGAACAGTCACAAAACGAACTGTTGTAAATCGAGGACTACCTGTACTTTATCACTTTTTTCCTTTTTGGGGGGGGGGGTCATCAAGTTTTTGACCCCTTGCTAGGCGACTGGTGGTACTCGGATACTGCCATATCCTAAAAGTGGTACAGTGGGTGAAAAGGTTGAAAAGCCCTGCTATAGATACTTTCTTCTGACATTCTATGGGACTGAGGCATGAGGCAAAGGAGTAGTATGAGTCAACATCATACTTTTTTATGTTTTATTTGTATTGTGAGATAGTTGAAGAAATTCTGCTTCATTGACTAATCTGAAGAATTCGTCTTTTGCATAGACAAATAGTTCTGTAGAGAATAACTGGGCAAATAAGGAATCAGCAAAAATTTGTTAGGAAAGAGATTAAAAATAAAACTTCCAATACTGTATTGTCATTACTGAAATCTAAGATCTATTCAAATCTGAAATTATGGTCATTTCAGTATGTTGCATATGTTGTGTAGAAACGGGCCAAAAAATGAAAGAGCTATGGATATGGGCTATTGATATGTAAGAAAAAGGTGAATGATCAGCATATAAAATTATGAATTATGTAAAGGAAGTGGGTGTCTTTCTTCATTCAGCTTGGGAGTTACCCAATGAAACTACACGACAGGTAATCAAAAATAAATTCTTCAATGCCAGCTGTGGGATTGCAATCACAAGATGGTACTATATGGCTATCATTACTTTAGACCAGTGGTTCTCAACCTGTGGGTTGGGACCCCATTTGGGGTCAAACGACCATTTCATGGGGGTCGCCAAACAATCCAGTCTGCCAATTTTTTCCCCTTTTCCTTAGCTGTGCTACTCCCTTTTATTCTATTGGCTTTTGAAAGCCAATAGAATAGACTCTCTTGAATAGACTCTAATTCTATTGGCTTTCAAAAGCCAATAGGAATTGTCCAGGCTGTCTCTGCCCTGCTGAGCCGCCAAAAGTCCCATTCTGCAAACGGTGCTGCACCAGTTGAGTAGTCCTTGACTTACAACCGGTTGAGTAGTCCTCAATTTACGACCGGTTGGGGGTCGCGCCATTAAAAAGATTGAGAACCACTGCTTTAGACTGCTTTAAAAGGGAATTAGACAAATTCAAGATGGAGATGGCACTCGATTGCCATATTGCTCTAAGAATAATAGACACTACATTTTAGGACAATAGCCTTCTTCTGGAATTGTTTCCCAAAATGCTGTATAAACAGAGGTCAATGGGAAACCCACAAGCAAGAGTATGTGTGCAAAACTGCAGTGTGCAGCAGTTTTTCCCCTTTGCTCTCGAGATGGCCAAACTGATAAGGACTTCAATGTATGCATAGTAAATAATTAAAGACTAGAAAGCTTTGAGAGCCAGAGAGACTATGAGCTCTAGACCCGCCTTAGGGACATAATCAGTTGTTGACTTTGGGCCAGTCATTCACTCTCAGCCCAGTGAAGAAGGAAGTGGCAAACCACTTGTGGTCAAACCTTGCCAAGAAAATTGCAGGGACTAGTCCAGGCAGTCACCAGGAGTCCAAACAAAACAAAACAAAAACCATCTAACTCGAAGGAAGAAAATGTTTTAGCTTAGATATATGTATGATTACACCTCAACCACTACCCTTATTGCCTTGATTTTTCAATTGGGCTGTTTTGGCTTTGTGAGTGCAATCTTATGAGTTCTTCATAATCACATAGGTCAATGGGGTTTACTTTTGAATAAGCATGCATAGCATTAGCATTTAAGGTATACATAATTAGCTTACAGTCATTGGTGGATGTAAACTAGCATACATTTATTTACTTCAGTGGTTCTTTGCCAGATTTTATTGACAAGGCCAATAACTTTCAGGGTTTGGTAAATGAATCATTATAATGGGAAAAAAATGAATGGCTAGACAGGAGTTGCAGGTCTGAAGTATATTATTGACTACGCTTTATTTACAAAACCAAAAGATTCATACACTGCAATCTGTGTGGCAGTGTAGAGCTGGAATTAGGAAAAGACACATGTGGGACAACAGGTATCAGCAGGGATTCATCGTCATTCAGAGCTGAGGTTCTGAAAGATGTGGGCACCCTAAAAGTAAGCAGTAGGCAATCCAGGCTGATGTTGCAACTATGGTTTTGTTCAGGCGAGAGAGAGGAATTGGTAGCTAAATAGGGAAGATGAGCCAGTGATGTTTGGCCATGCCACCATTGATGAATCTTCCTGCAGAGACCTTCCAGATCTTTATTTCCAGCGTCCTCCAACTTTGCCCTTGGCTCCAGCCTTCTTGCTGCTGTAATACAAATAGGATAAAAATGTGTCTTGCTGCTGCAATACAGATACCGTTTCCTGTTCTTGACCTTGCCTTTTCAACAACAAGTTTATCATTTCATGTCACTCTATCATTAAAGCAGATGAAATGCCAATGAGTTCTACTCTTATCAGATCCATTTTGCTCACCTCTTAATCAAGGAATAGCTGGTGGCAATCTGTTCAATCTGGCTCCCAAAGCTATTTTATCTCAAGCTGACAATCAACATGTTTTTTTAAAAGGCAATAGTTGTCTGAGTTCTAATCAGACTTGTCAGAAATGGAAAATTCCATACATTAATGGCAGAGCTACCTTGGAACTTTAGATGCAATGATAGTTGTGCCTTAAAACTAATAAATGATATAATCTATATTTAGCTTCTGCCAACTTTTCAATTTAGTGATTGCATTATCTCCTAAATAAAGTCATCACCAAAAATCCAGAAGTTGCCCAAATGTGACTTTAAATACTAATAAAAACTAGGCGCAGAGTCAAAACAACTCAGAAACAATTCAGAATTTCTGATAAACCACAAAGCATTATGTGTCAAAGTAGCACAATTTCCTTTAAACTTCATCAAGATAAAAAACTTCTTCAAAAGACAGGTGGAAAAAACTCATGTTTAAAATGTGCTACTGTGGTTGACAAGATTTCAAACTGTTTTATTTTGCATGCAAAAGAAACAGTATTTGAAACATGCAAAACTTACCTTAATTATGAGCTCAGTTATGTACTGTTGTTCCAAATGAGTACATTAATTTGCTACAGAACACCACTCTTGGCCCAGTAACAAATTCTAGCCGCATTGCTGTTATTGTCATGCTGTGTATCCTTAGATGGTACTATAACTTACACAACAAGCTAACTTGGATTAGTAGCTACGTGTTTGGTGAATTGGAGTTTAGATTATGTGCTATTGGGACACTTGCAATATGAAATCTTCCAGGGAATGTGAGAGATAGGGAAATATAACAGTAAAAGGAGTATCTTTAAAGCTTACACGATAACAGTGGTAGTTTTACATATGGGAACATGTCAGTGACATCACCATTCATATACACAAACAGCGAATACTTTACCTGTCATTTAACATGGGACTTTTTCTCCCCTAAAACAGCCTTTGTCCTCAGAGACAAGTGGCTGTTGCGTGTCTTCTGATGATAATAGACATATGTGCTACAAACTTAACATTTATGTGCTGCCGTATCTTCCAATAATGTCCACAAGTATCAATTATAAAAATACCTTATTGATGCAGTTGACAAAAAATTGGTATGCCTTATTCCTGTTAGTTTCTTTTCCTTTTATTTTTTCTTTGTAAGATTTTGCAGCCAGATCATTTCATAAAGCTCATAATCTTTAACAACCCTCTTAGAATTGTATTCTTTTTATGTTTTGTCTTCTAAAGAATGGCACATCATCCTAAGTAACTTTCAGCATACCCTATTGCCTTTAAAGTAGCATAGATTTATCTGAATTGCCTCCAGTTCTGCAACAAGGATTATACTGTTTATGAATTAACAGGGCCAATTAAGAGCTATTAATGAGCCCGAAGCACCATTCATTGAATGATATACATAATATGAAACATATAAGCAAAACATCTAGAATTATATGCATTTAATAGAGCCAGGCATATCAGTGCACTGGTTTTCCTTCCCTGCATGAGAAGAGAAGTTTTGAGAGTTCGTCCTCCCATACAGTCATTTCTTCTAGAACTATCCCCTTTCAGCCCTTGCTTTCATTTGATTACTGTTTCGCCATTGCCTTTATCTTTAAAGCATTAGGTTTCTGAATTGACTCATGCAGCAATGAAACTATGGAACCAAACAAGCAGGAAATAATTTGAATTAGATGAAAGGAGATAAGATTATATGATGCATCAAAAGAACCATTGGGCACACCATGCCACATGATTTCCATGTGACAGTGCCAAATTTGAATATTAGTGTTATTAAATCCTGTTCCTTACAATCTCGGAAAGTATGCTTTCCATGCCAATGTAACACATTGGCAGCCTCACCAAGATTGACAGGAAAAAAGAGGGGGGGGGGATTATAGATTCATTTCAGTTTCTCCAAAGTATTTTTTAAAGGAAAGAAAAAAGTGGGCTTTAGCAACTGTGCTTATCCACTTCATTCCCTTCCAATAAGAAATAGCTGGAAGAAGACTGAAGTGACTACTGCAAACAGATGGATATTCCAGTCTTCACACTGGACAAGTAATCTAGGTACTCACTGTTTCTGTGCCTGATCAATCCGATTTCTGAAGGTAGTAATCTGCAAACAAATATGACTAAGTTTTAAAAAATGACCTGCTTCCCATGGAAAGAGGGATTAGCCAGTTGTTTCACCTCAGTCAGATATGGGCAGGAGGTTGTAGACTTGAGAGCAATATGCACAAAATGAAGTCAAAGCTGAAAGGATTTATTCAGCAAAGCAGAGCAGAAGAATAATTTTGACTGCAAAGCATAAATAGGTAGGACAAGGCAATAATAGGAATATAAAAAGGACAAAGGACATCTCTTCAGTAACTGGGAACCTATCTTCCTTACCCAAGGTAATTATGGATGTCCCTCAGATTTTTTCCAGCTAGTAGATAGCATCTTTCCTGGGTAGGTCTACTCCAGTGGAGGTGAACCTATGGCACGGGTGCCAGAAGCAGCACTCAGAGCCCTCTCTGTGGGCACGCACACCATGCCCCGGAGATGGCAACCGTCCCTCTTCAACCAGCCGCCTGCTAACTCGCCGAGGTCCCATGTGGCCGGATGCATCCTGGCACGGCTGGTTTCCCTCCCCCCGTCTCAACCCTCCTGGCCTTGTATGATCTCCTTTTCCTAGACATGACCCACTGCATCGCCTCCTCAGCTGTTGGTCAGCTGGCCGTCCAGCTCAGAGGTGGCTTCTCTGAACTGCTGGCAGCGAGCTGCGGAGCCCCAGACTGCGCCGGTCGAGGGACCGGCAGGCTGGGCTGCTGACGGACACTGTCTGCCCCCATGTGCTCACTGGCCTCTGTGTGCGGGGCCCGATGGTGTCAGGCAGCCACTGCCCTGGCCCCTGCCTCACCTTGCCTCGCCTCTCCCTGCAGGACGAGCCTCCTGCCCACTGCCCAACTGCTAGAGACTCCCTGGATCTCCCCCAACCCTGCCTGGCCCCCACAGGCATCCCTCCCCATGAGCAACATCAAGGTGACCATGCCCACCTTGGCCACACCCACCCAGTGCCATGACCACCACAACCATGCCCACCCAGTGGGCCACGCTCACCTGGCACCCGGCGATAAATAAGTGGGTTTTGGGTTGCAGTTTGGGCACTCGGTCTCTAAAAGGTTCACCATCACTGGTCTACTCTATGCTAAGGTTCAAACTAGTTAAATTGCTTGTCATCTTTTACAAAATATATAAGGCATAAATAACACAGTCTCTGGAGATAGTTTGGTGATATACTTTAGCAGTAACTTGAATTAAACTCTGACTTTTAAATAACTGGCAAAGATCATTAATCTATTTTTCTTTCTTGAGATGTTGAATTAGGGAGTACATGTTCATTTAAAGATTATCTCTGCCTTTTTATATCAAGTTCCAGGTTTCTGAAAACTTGTATAATGTCCTACTGCAAACTCATCCTCCTAATTATATGTGCATTTTTGTTTTTACTTGTTGCCAAGTAGCTAGCAAAAATTGGTGTGAGATCTATCAGCCCATTCATCCTTGTTTTCTTATTTTTTCCAAAACAAAGGGAGAAAAATAAAAAACCCATGTTTTGAAAAGTAGAATGAGAATTTGAAAACATTCTGATTTTACCCATAATATATATATACGGAGAAGATACTAAAAATCTGCTCCAGCAATAGAAAGTTTCCTATGCATAAATCAAAACAGAAAAGCTGTCAGCAGTATTTGAAGAAATAATCCTTCTAAATAAAGCCATGTCCTCAGTAATGACTTAAAGTGTCTTCATGGCATCACCAACCATAACTGAGGTGATGTAATTTATCTCTTTATTATTTTGGTACAGCAGTGGCCGAATAACTCTAGAAGAAGCTATAAGCTGCTAGTGGACAAATTACTTAAAACTTCCTTTGTTACCATATCAGCACAATTATTTTTTTTTAATCATGATTTTCCCTCCTGTCCTCATAATAATCAAGACTAATTTATTTGGGTGAATTCTTCTCATCTCTCTGCCTAGCTGAATGAGGAAAAAAAGATTTCTATGACTGACTTAATTCTGTCCTTATCCAAAGGAAGAAACTAAAGAAACCCAGATCTTACAATTCTGTCAGGATAAAGGTTGACCAATTTTAAAAAAAAGTCAGATCTGGGCTATTTCCAGCTGTGAACAGACACTTCCTATTTAAAAGTGATCCTGTTATTTCACAAATCAATGGAAGGCTTTCCAAAGAGTAAAGGAAAGAAATATTTCAGGTTGGAGGGAAGACGACCAGGAAGCATGCTGGAAATTTAAAAACCATTTTCCAGGTTTTGAGCAATTGCAATTTTATGAGGTGGAAATGCTTCAATTATAAAAGAAATCAAAATATAATTTCTGGCTCAAGGAAATAAAGAGGATTTTGAAAAAAATATTTTTTACCATTATTTACAGCATCTTCCTTAATATTTCCATTGCTTTGTTCACAATGCAATAAACACACTGCTTGCATCTTAAGAGATGGCTGGCCAACAGCATAGTTTTTTCTTTTAAGTTTCCTCTAAGTAGTTCTTATTGTGCAGCAATTCAATTTATTGTACAGTAAATTCACAATATTCAAACCATAAGATGTCTTGTTCACCATCTTGGATTCATAGGGTGGGACTTTCTTCCATTACAAGCAGAAACAGGAGACTCCAACATTGGAAGCAACACAACAACATGAAAAAGGATAACTCAGCTGCCCAATATACTTACTTGCTTACTTGTAGATTTTGAACACGTGCCTTGTGGAACTGAGGAACTAATATTGAATCCTCCTCTTAACCAGGTATTTGATTAAGGAACTTATTTACCAGAGTACTATTGGTGCTTATGACTTACCTTCTTTTCTACGTGTGAAGTAAGATAGACAATAGGCATGGCGCTTGGATTCCTGGGTAACAAAGTTGGGCAAGAAATGGCTCTAAAGCAGTGCTTCTTTTATTTTGCTTTCTTATGAACTTTCCATGCTATCCAGCTACAGCTCAACTGTTCTTAGGATAACAGCAATTTTCCCTTTAATTGTACAATTCTTTTTTAAAAAAACAAAACAAAACATAGGAGTTGCCTTGGTGGATCAGAAACAAGTTCCATCTCCCAATTCAGTTTTCTCTGGTTGCTGTTTGATGCCTGCTCCAATCATTTGTATCTAATTTATTCAATTGACAGGGATTAATGGGAACATTCAATAGCTTCTAGTGCTGCTTCCATATCATTAACATAATCCAATAGATTTCTCTAAATTTGTAAAACAAATCTGACAAAGAATGGCCTCTTTGTCTTCTGGCTCTCACCTACTCTCTGGTGTGATTTTTGTATAAATATAAGCAAACAAAAAAGGCTTCTGAGGTGCTAGTTGATCTTTCTTACCTGTCTTTTTCTAAATGTTTGTGGAGATTGTCAGTCATCCAGGTCAGAGTTGTGTCAAAGTTGCTTTTTTCTTTAAAAGGCAACTAGATTGTTTTTTTCTTGAGGAAAAAGAAAACATTTCTCATCCAAGAAGCTTCATCATTGAACAAGAAGCAAAATGTTTTCTTCTTCCTCAAGAAAAAAACAGTCCAGTCGCCTTTTGAAGAAAAAAAAAAACACCTTTGAGACTGTCTTTTTCTATTTTCTTTTCTTTTCCTTTTTTTGGACATGTGGGAAATTATCATGTATAATTTGCAGCCCTTATTATTAATAGTATTTTTAAAACACCCCCCCCCCCAACTCCTGATGTTTTCGTTTATAGAAATTATTTTTATGACACTCCAGTCATTCTATGAAGTAGGAAACTAAGATAACAATTGAATGGAGAGATCACCTTAAAGAACTGGTTTTTCTGCTGGTATCACTTATTTTCATTGTCCTGCGTTCATTTAGAACAATGTTTTCCAATTTTAGCTTGGGAATTCTGGGAGTTGAATTCTTAAAGTGGAGAAACACTGATTTGGATGACTGACCACAATCTTTCCAATCTACTGCCCTCTGCTGCCTTTAGCTATGCTTCCTGGATTGAAAGCCAACACATCAGGCTAAGAAAGGCTGATCTACAGAATATAACATTAAATTTCTATTCAGCTACCAGTACTTCTGAATTAATGCAATAAAGTTTGATGAAGAAAAAAAGGAGGAAGAAATGTGGCTATTTCTTGCTTTGTAAGCCAGGAATTGAATGCCAGCCTGTTGTTTATCTATGCAAATTTTGAGTTTCCAGACTCCCAACATGCAAGAGGCTCATGCATGTAAAAATCTTTTGCTGCTTATATCATCTGGGTGAACTCATTGTACTTACAACCTGGCCAGTGCCTGCACCCTGCAACGTAGTGATAAAATCTAAGAGAGATTAAGATCATTATTGGCTTTGGGGTTCTTAACAAATTGAATTTTTTTGCAATAAGTACTCAGAAACAGAAAAGCATTCGACTTTTAACACTGTCAGAACTCTCTCATTGTTTTGTGAGTGCATTACAAAGAATTATCTCAACATCATAAAAGCAGACAACTGCTGTAAGAAGGATGCCTTATTTTTCCCTATTTCCAAAATAAAATTCCAAGCACGGCAAAGCAATAACGGCCCATTTTCTGCACATCTGTGCAATCCACCAGTTCTCCTTCATTCCTAGGCTTAACTTTTTATCTCCCCTCTGTGCAGAGTGTACAGCTCTATTACCTATGAGCAATTAAATGTGCAATTGGATGGCAAATTATTTGGCTCTATTTACAATGACAGAGTTAAAACATAGGTAGAGTAGTTGTAACCATGCTCATAGTTTGTAGACAAATTTGGAGTATTTTCTTCCATACAATATGAAGAAATATAATCTATATTTTCTTTTAAAAAAATGGTAATTATCTTGTAGCATTCTCAAGACAACAAAAGAGAATGGTGCTGCCTTTTCTGCCTGCATAAATTCACATGAAGATAAGGCTGGAGAGTTAATAGAGGCTGGGGACATCAGAAGTGAGTTCATTATTGATCTCATAGATATTTCTGACACTGCCTATGGATTTATACAGATGGTTGGCTCCCCTGCTTGGCTTGGCTGTGATGGGGTTTAATATCATGAATAAGCCATCTGGTTTATGAAGATGCTTCAAAAAGAAAGATGAACATATTAATTAATATGACAAGTTATTTCATAATATTTTCAGGCATATCATGAGGATATATCTTAAGTAGAAGGCAGAAATCCACCCTACGTGTATAATTGAGAAGTTATCATTCTGGGATAAACTGAATTTTGTTGATAAACGTTCAGGATGGTATATGGGCTTTAATAGTTTTTCTATGGTCTTCAGCCCAGGTCGCCCTTAGAAGCATAACTGATTTTACCCTGAAAATAAAACAAAAATCATAGCCAACATCTCTTTCTCTACTCACATCATATCTCTGTCTCTTGATCTTTTCTAAATACTCATATTTTTCCGTTTCCAGCTGATACAGCGAGTCCCACAATTCTTTGGCTTTCTCCCTATTTATTTGTGAAGAAGTGGAGATATAATAAAGAATGATATACAATTCAAACAATTGGCAACTACAAAGAAACTTATTTACATAAGCTCAATATTTCTTAAATTTATGATCAAACTGTTGGGAGACTATTCAAATAGAAGTCCAACACAACTGAACAATTTCAGTTTGTGGATTTAATTAATCCCTCATGTTCCTTATGATGAGTTATTTGAACACCAAAATATCAACAGAGAGCCTGACCACTTCATTACTTACCCTCTCTCTGGATACTTAATGAAAAAACTGAAGTATCTTGGTCTCAGTACAGATACTTGGGGGAATCATATTGTTTACTTTCCCCTTTGGAAATACTTGTTTATTTGTTCTTATTCCCTGCTTTCATAACTGCTAATCTTATTCAGAAATATTTCATATACCTTTGTGAGAACAATATCCATATATATATTAACAGGAATAATTTTTAAAATATACGCAAAAGGATTTCTCTTTATAACTTTCAACATGCTTGAACATTTTTTTGTAATTTACTTATATTTATTTATATTTACTTAAATATAGTGGCCGTACCTGTTTTTTTTACTAATTTACAAATGTTGCAACTGCAGGCAGAAGTTATAATTTAATCTGTTCTTTTTCTTACTATATTGATTATTTTTAAATTATCCATTAGAGTTAAATATTATATATTAATGTTAAATCAAATTTGATAGCTCATCAGGATTAAATATTTAACTGCATAATAACAAATGTTGTTTTCTTAAATATCCCCTCCTATTTTTTAATACCAGAAAAAGTACTAAAACAAATTTGAGCATAAGCTCAATCTTGTGTGTAGTACAAGAGGCAGTGAGGGAGGTGGGGTGGGTTACTTTTTTTTTTACCTCAGTTTGTCGTCACCAAGGTGATCAATATTCAGAGGTTTGCGTCTCTCTGCTAAAACTTTCTTCTTCAGTTCCCTTGCAGTTTGTTTCTTTCCTCTCTTTTGATCAGCCTGTGCAAAACGAGTTTAAAGATGATTAAAGAGCCAGTTTGATCTAGTGGCTGAGGCACCAGGCTAGAAAGCAACAGTCCATGAGTTCAAGTCCTGCTTTAGCCATGAAAACTAGCTAGGTGTCTTGGGGCCAGTCAATCTCTCATAACCCAGCGCACCTCAAAGGGTTGTTGCTGTGGGGAAAATAGGAGGAAGAAGGTGTGTTGGACATATTAATGGAATATAAATAAACAAATAATCACTAGATCTATACCATTGAAGGAATTAATGAAGAACATCAAAACCTGGCAGTAGAGCAGTGATCCTGAATTGTAAAAATGCTTGATCACAATTCATATCATCCTCCATTAATGCACTAAACATAGTGCCTGAATTGTAATCTGATATATTCAGCTGCCATCAGATCAGCACTAAACTACCCGTAATTGTTTCTAAGAATTTGCCAACATGCCTACTTTACATATCTTTCTGATTCATTGCAGGACATGCTCTAGAAGCCATAAGACTTGTTCCGCAAGGCTGAAGAGCCATTAGATCAAAACTATGGGAAGTTGTGAAACTCTATCTCTCTAGCCTAAAGAAAAAAAAGTAGGGGGGGGGGACTTAAAACAGAAACTAGCAGGTCCTTCTTGTGGTGAACTTCTTTGGTCTCTTCTTGAAAGTGCACATTTTTGCCATTATAGCATTAAAGAATTCCTAGAAATTCTTGGATAATTTTCAGATCAGCTGTGCTCATTCTTGATCACATTCTGGCTTTCTCAGTAGATTTACCTTAGCCAAATAGCTGCTGTATGTGGCACCCATAGAGGAGAGAGCTTTCTTCTTCTTCAGATCATCTTCAGCCCTCCTCTTGACATCTTCCTCCTCTCGTCTTGCCTTTTCCTCCTGTGAAACAGAAAGGAACAAACTCTGCTTCATACCTGGGACTCATAAAGGCAGAACAGAGAATTTGGGTCTGGGACATAATTTTTGGGGAAGTGGTAAGATAAAGCCCAAAGTCACAACTCTTAACACATCATTTTACATTCAGGGCAATGAGATACCAATGACAAAAGGTTGTAAGACAGACTCACAGCAAGTCTGGCCTGACGCTCCTTTTCTTTCTCAGCTCGGATTCTTTGCTGCTCAGCCCTCTCAGCTCTACGTTTTTCCTATGCATTGCAGAGAAAAGGCAGTAATTTGGTTAGAACTGTATTCAGTTCCAGAACAAAAGGCATTGGAAAATGTTCCTGAGAACAAACAATTGAAATTAAATTGTGAACAGTATTAAGATGAGACTCTAGAAAGAGTTCAGAGAAGGGCAACAAAGATTATTAGGGGACTGTGAGGCTAAAACATATGAAGAATGGTGGCAGGAATTGGGTATGTCTGATTTAATAGAAGGACTAGGGGTGATATGATAGCAATGTTCCAATATCTAAGGGGCTGCCACAAAGAAGAGAGTGTCAACCTACTCTCCAAAGGACCCAAAGGACAAGAAACAATGGATGGAAACTAATGAAGGGGAGAACCAACTTAGAACTAAGGAGAAATTTCCTGACAGTCAGAACAATTAAGCAATGGAACGACTTGCCTCCAGAAGTTGTGGGTGCTCCAATACTGGAGGTTTTAAAGAAGAAATTGGACAACCATTTGTCTGAAATGGTATAGGGTTTCCTGCTTGAGCAGGGGGTTGGAGTGGAAGACATCCACGGTTCCTCCCAACTTTATCATTCTATTATTCTGTTATGACAAAAATGTTCTTGGGTTGATAGTACTAATAAAACAACTCAGAGGCATCTGAATCAAGGCCAACAATGTTTTCTAACATCTATAAGGTATATGAGTGGAAATTCAAGAGGGCACTAAAAATATTACTTTTTTTACATCCCAAATGACTAGTAACACCATTGTGTAATAATAATATACTGACATTTTAAGCTGTATGAAACAGGCATATAGACACTTTGAAAACATGGCTACTTATAACAATTATTTCATGCAATTTATGTTCAGCAAAAAAATATCATAAGTCCTTTAACTTTTAATTTGTCTTCATGATCTATCCTTATGCTGAAGACCTTACAATAGTTTACTTGAGGAAAACTTACAATTCTCTCTTTAAGAGACATTATATCTTCTTCTTCTTTTTTCCGGCTTTCAAAGTGACTATCAATCAAGGCTTGAAGCTCAATCAAGTCTTTGTTCTGCCTCTTCTTTTGAATGTCCTGGGGAAAGAAAGACAGGAACGGGTGTTCCATGATACCAAGTATAATGATTGAGATAGTGTAGATTTCCCCCACAGAAAAAACTTTACATATTCCCATTTATTGAAACACCAATCAGTTGCATCAGTTATATCTTCTCATAGCTATGGAACTTATTCAGAATGATTTACATACTGGGATATAAACCACTTTCTTGTCTAAAATTTGGACAGGCAAGGCAAGAGATTCACTGGAAGAACCAGCAATACTCACATCAAAGTCTACTTTCTCGCCTTCTGGGATCTTAGGTGCAGTCAACCTTTGTGGATGTTATGAAGAGAAAGAAAAGTACATAAGTTCCTGAGAAAAATATTTCAGAAGTAAAGGGAAGAGATATTTTTGGGAAGATTTGTTTGCATGACAATTTAACTGAAATAAATTTGTTCAAATTCTATTTAATAAAATCATACTGCAGGATATGGGAAGTTGAATTTAAAACTACTAATGGGTTTGATGCACTGTCTAGCAATAATCATATTTTTCTTCCAAGTGCAAAATATTAATATTACAAATTATCAATTCCAATTCTATTAGAGAGAGAAGCATCAGAAATAGTTTGATAAGTTCTAAAAATGTGAATGTAATAATCATGATTAAGCTGGATTTTTTTGGTCTGCTGAAAGCATTGGCTCTCTAGAAATGAATCTGAATGAAGACGTTGTATATCTCTCATTTAATTATAATGTAGTGGGAAGTGTGAGTGAACCTCTGTTCTTTTTGTCTGACGTCCTGCTTTACCAAATAGCTTGGGGTTTTTTTATTACATCACCCTTCAAAACATTAGAGAAATATTTATCCTATTAGTCACTCTCCAAATTAATCTTCCCCAATCTGGTGCCTTCTAGTTGTATGGAGATTGCAATTCCATAATCTCCAATACACAGAATTAATAGCTATAGTCTGGAATTTATAGTCCCATCTGCAGGTATGAGGTTAAGGACAATTGTTACAACATATCCAATAAGATATGTCAGTATCTTTGCGTGTATTACTGGACTGGATGGACCATGTGTACATTTCATTGTGAAAACTTATTTTGTATTCAAAGGAGATCTTTACATTTCATCCTAAAAATGAAGTATGAAATATGTGGAAATTACAGGTAAATATAGCTAACTAAATGTGAAAGACACAAAACATCTAACTGGTTATCATTTATAATACATGAACCATGAACATTTAAAACCAAAGAACTTTACAAGAATGGTTATAATATTACTCCATTAAACATGTCCTAAACTTACGTTGGTATTGGTCTGGGTTTCTTCTCTAAATATAGCAAATCAGGAAGTGAGCAGGAGAGAAAAGGGAAAAAAAAGATGAAGCAAGAAACAATAGATTAAATCTTCCTTCATTTGCTAAAGTCAAAAGATACGCGTAGTTTTATGAAATTAAATATATTAATTACACTTTTCACATATCACAAAGACACTCTTTGACAAACTAATTTTACTTAGAAGAAAAAAAGTTCAGAACAATAAAAGAGCAGTCTGCGTGAAAGCTTTGGAATAATATCCAGAATGCAATAATTCTTTTTAATGACTGCACCTAGTTTTCAAAATCTTAAGTATCTTCAATAACCCCATACATTATATATGAATTCAAAGAATTCAGTCTTGCATTGTTCTTACTGCCTTTTCTTTTGGTTTTGGACAGAGTATTGCTTTTTGGACAGAGTACTTTGTACAATATATAGTCTAACTTCAAAAAATTGATCAATCTGCTTCGGAATATATAAAATGTCTAAGGTAGACATGTTAAACTCGCGATGTCACGTGAAGTCACACAACTTATCGGAACTTTTCCCCCATTGCCGGGGGGGGGCGGTTTACTCGTGACACATCCAGCCCATGGGCCGACAGTTTGACACCCCTGGTCTAAGGTATAGAAGTGATTGGGAAAAAATGTTATAATTATTCATTCAGTTCAAAACCAATCTTAAAGCAAAACATGACTCTCTTCTTCCTTTCTGCTAAATGAAAGCAACATTTAATAATAGCACCAGTTTTAAAATAGAGAATTTGCTTTGGAAAATAACAAAGCTGAGTAAGAATTGCCTGATAATTTTATATACAGACATTTCTTTTTATCCAGTTTCTGAATTATTCTAATCAAAACCAGACAAGGAACTATGCAAAAATAATAATAAATGTTGAAGGGGAAAATGAGATATGAAAACTATGACAAATTACAAGAAGAAAACCCATTGGCTGAAAAGCATTATTTGTTTCTTGCACAAAATAGTTTTCATACAATTATGGAATGTTCCTGCTTTTTTTTCCTTTTTAACCAAACTCCTATGTCCACTCGTGTTTTTTTTTCTAATCATGTTACATCTTAACATATCTACTACATTCATATGGAGTTCTTGGTGTTTTCTGAGCTTAGTTGTTACTTGGAAACATTTCATTGGCCAACTAGCTAATATTTAGGTAATTATGTTACCTAGTTGGGTAATTAAATATCTCCCAACAACTAAGCTTTGAAAACAACAAGAACTCCACGGTTCAACCCCGAGGTGCATATATTCTCTTCTATTGCTACTAAATTTATGCTAAATTATATATTGTACAATGTTCTTGCTTAAGTGGTTGTTGCTTTTAAGAAGTTTTCCAAGAACATCTGGTTTTTAAAAAAGTTTTTTTTATTTGTTCCAGGAATAGAACAAATATTTATATACTTCCAGAATATAAAATAAGAGTAAAACCAAAGGAAAATAAAAGTTAATTCTAATTCAGTTTAGGTTAGAATATTTCTTTTTGAAGAAACTAGATAAAACATATAAATAATCATCATGGCAAAATCCTTCTGATGTCCTTTTTTAATTTTTTTATCTCAGTCCCTTTCTTACTTATAAATATTCAGAGGCATACGGTAATTCCTGCACAAATCCTGCCAAAAGATAAAGCTCATCCTTAAAAAGAGCAAAACAAAACAATACAAAACAAAAGTGAAAGATAAACTCAGGAGCTTTAAAAGAAAGAGAAAATTGAAAGGTTATTGATGTCTCCCTTCAGAATCTGAAATGTAGAAAGCAGCAAAACTCATTAGTAAAAACAGCTGTCATTCATCCATAGTGTCCTTTATAACTTTCTACCAGGACAGCTTAAATTTAGAAAACCTCATTAGTGGCATAATAAAAATGTCAGACTATGAATAAATGCTAAATGCAGGTAGTCCTCAACTTAAGAGCACAATTGAGATCAGAATTTCTGCTGCTAAGCGAGGCAGCTGTTGAGTCAGTTACGCCCGTTTTTACATTTTTGCCACAATGGCTGAGCGAATCACTGCAGTCGTTAAGTGAATCAGGCAGTTGTTAAGTGAATATGGCTTTCCATTGCGTGATTGGAAGCCAGTTGAGAAGGTGGCAAATGGTAAAACACATGACCTGGGACTCTTACAACGGCTGTAGATCCACGATGATTGCCAAGTGACCAAAGTTGAATCACAGGACCGTGGGTGCTGCAACAGTTGTAAATGCAAAGACAAGCAATGTCACTTTTTTCCAGTGCCGTTGTAACTTTCAATGGTCACTAGTGAAGGGTTGTTAAGTCAAGGACTAGCTGTATCTGTAGGTGTGTGAAGTATATGGAGGCTGATATTGGTGGAAATATGCAGGGAGTGTTTTGTAGGCAAAAAGGGACTGAAACATATTTTAAGGCCAGAACAACATTTGGAAGCATCTCAGGGAGATGCCTCTCCAACTCACTGGGTTATAAGAAAAAGGCTGGCACAATTATACTTGCAAAATTCTTAATTGTAGCCCAGGTCAATAAATGTAGTTTTACCTTCCTGTGACGTTGATTTCCTGGTCTGTTCTACCTAGTGGGACTGTCATTAAGGGATTTTCTTCCAGGGGAGATAATATTTTTAAAGGAAATGTTTTTTTTCAAACCATAGCAAGTAAAGGAAGGGTTTAATACTCCATGCAATTACACTTGGATTATGGGATAGCGGATGCATTTAACACCATATTATAGGTATTTTGGCCCTAAATGAAAACTCTTTTTCATCTATTGGGGATTTACTGATAGAGACTGTATATTTCTGAAGGCTTGGTTTACAATAAAATTTACTCCTAACAAAATGAAAATATTAGCTGTGTTATAACCATAATGATTTGGTCCAATTTCTGGTATTATGATGAGTAAGGATTCAGTGCAGAATAAAAAAAAAATGTGTTAGTAATAAGGATATACTACTTCCAAGATCCACCAAAATATCATAATCATATTCTGCTTCTTCAAATGGAAATGGAACACAAAGGAAGGTAGCCAATTAAATACTCCTTCTCCATGTCCACCATTTGTCAATTGTCCTGTTTTTCAAATCAATCTGAAGAATCCATTTGTTGAAATACCAGTAAAACTATTTTTAGACATTTCTCCTCCTTTCCTATCCTTAGTTCTCCACACTTCTTCCAAATCTGCTCTGAAATGAATGCTCAGTCCTTCAAATTTTGGGGAGTCCATAATGGGCAAAGGAATTCCTTCTGCCCTTATTCTTATCTCTGAAGGCTAGATTATACTCTTGTTGTGGGTCAACACCCAAGAAATTCTAACCTTCCTTGGGCATGTGCTAGTATGTGTACAATGAGACCTTTAAAGAGAATCTAAGCTATAAACTCTTGAAATAGAGTCTTCCTGGTTTTCATGCAAAGCATCCTGTATATTTATGGCCCTAGATAAATAATTTTAAAAATTGTTACTAGAAATATCCAGAAACAATTTCCCCAGTTCTGTTAACACCCACCTCAGTTCCATCAAGGTCCTGTTCTACATATCCTCAATAGGTTTTCATGTCTTGGTTATTCATAGAATAGGTTATGGTATGTGCAATCCAAGACTTTTAGGACAGCTTGTGTGAAAGGGGGAGGGGAGACTAAATTAGGCTAACATGCTCACAGAGCAGCTGAAGGATGCTACAAAACTGTCTTTATAATGTTCCTTCTGGAGCAGAAATCAAGTGTTAATCACCTGGTCTTCCCAAGCTCCTCAGAGCTGTATAACACTGAAGAGACATTGGGGGGGGGGAGGCTGCACTGATCTGAAACTGATGAAAGGAGCCTTGGAATATATACTTGGCAGAAAAGAACAACAAAAAAAAAAACTTCCAAGAATATGAGTATGGTAGCTAGACAAGGGTTTTACTTACCACCTGTAAACAACAGATCACCCTATCATTTAAGAAACTGATTTTTATATATTTTTTTAAATCCTCTAGTTTCTCAGATTATTTGCCATGTTGTATGAAAAATGGATTGAGATATATTGGCATTGTTCAAGAATTAGAGGAAAAAAATAAGACAGAAGTAGAATCTTCTGGATCTTTGAGTTCCAGGTTTCTACATGTATTTCTGAAATAAAAGCTAAATGAGCTCATAGTCTGGGGCAGGGGTGTCAAACTCGCAACGTCATGTGACATGTCACGACATATCGTGACTTTTTTGCCATTGCTGGCAATGGGGTAGGCGTGGTTTTGCTATGATGCATCCAGCCCACGGGCCAGCAGTTTGACACCCCTGGTCTGGGGCATCCCATCTGAGGACAAAAGGTGTTCCTATTAATATTAGTTGACAGACTTAACCTGGTACCATCTAGCTATCTTGAACCATAACCTAAAGATAAAGGGAATGAAGACCATGCTTGTTAAGAGTTTAAGCATTGAAGACCAGTATATTTGAGAATTCTAGGAATTGTAGCCCAGCATTTGGCTGGTCATTTATAGATCCTAAGATTAAAACTGATCAATTGAAATGATAGTGACATATTTTACACATACATATTAAAGAATTGTAATGAGCTGCCTACAAAATAAAAAAGGAAGCCATTAAACATTTGATTAAGTAGAAGGAGGAATGCCAGTTGTAAACACAGATTTTCCTGGGGTATCACTTGGTCTAGGTCTAGCTGTAATGGAGAATAATCATACAAGCAACTCATTCACAGAATATCACTCTCATTAGATCATGGCGGGAGAACACAATTCCGCCTAAAGGCTGAATTCACTTCCAGGAATATAGTCCAAACTGTAGGCAGGAGTCTTCAAACTTGGCCCTTTTATGACTTGTGGACTTCAACTCCCAGAATTCCTCAGCCAGCATGCCTGGCTGAGGAATTCTGGGAGTTGAAGTCCACAAGTCATAAAAGGGCCAGGTTTGAAGACCGCTGCTGTAGGCAATGCCTCCTCAATTTTTTCCCCCACATATACAGATATATTCCATTCACTTTCTGTCTTATACTACAGTTCTTTGTCACAGGTAACACACACCATTCAGTCAGAAGGAGCAATGGAACCACATCAATCTCATGAGAAGTTCTGTAGAATATCTGTATGGCAAGACACAGAAAAAGGGGAAAATACTATCTTAATTCCAAAATACCTCAAAAAAGAAAGTAAGTGGTCTCCGTAATGAGTTGGGGACAAAATGAAGGCTACATTAGGAGGGCATGTACTCTAAAAATAGTTAGTAGGACAGTTAGGGGGTAAGTTGGTTGGATGTGAGGATAATCTCACTGTCACACAATGCAAGCACACTTAACAGCAGTTTTGCATTTTGGGAAGATAGTTTTTCAAGCCTACATCATCAGACAGAGTTAGCCTCATCCTTTCTGAAAGAAAGCCCTTTCAAAAAATCCCTTCTATCATGCTAACAATGCTCCGTTTTATATTATGACACTTTTAAATTTCATGTAAATATATTTCAACTTTGCTTTGTCTCTAAAGAATTCAAGGGACTTTAAAGAAAGTGTGGAGCTCTGGTGTGTGTATGCAGAACATTCTAGAACAATCTCCAAAGAAAAACTCAATATTTTAACATCATCCAACTTATCCTCAAGTCATTGGGAATATTGTTGAACACTGTTGGTGCCACCCTAGAGAAAATAATGAAGAGATAAAATAAAGTTGATGGATTGGACAGTACATACCTTCTTCCCAGACTTCTATCAGAAGCATCATGGTGGAAAGAATAGTGATATGAAGCAAAACAGGAAAAGATGTAAAAATATAAACATATTTATGCCTAATGGGTAGAATGGGTGATTAAAGGGTAGAATGGAAGAAAAAGAGAAAAGGTCCACAGACATTTGTGGAAGCTGTGGAAATTTGAAAAATTGTAATGGCAGGTTAATGCAGCTATGAGTATGGAGCAATAAAGCAAAAACATACTTGTTTGTGATAGTAGGTTAATGGTACTTGTTGATCTTGTTTCTTCTCTTTCAATATCCCATTCACACAAATGTATATTATGTACATATTAGAGAATAGGAGGATTTGAAAGTTGTGTCACATACCTGGCTCATGAACTTCATCAGGTAAGAAGTATCATGGATCAAGATGTAACAAACCGCAAGAGAACAAAAACAAGAGTGACATGTTAATCTGAGTGTCTTTGAACTTTGAGTTTGAACAGAGGAAGAGAAAAAAAAAGCAGTAAGCAAAATCAGTAGTCATTGGTGAAAAAAGTTAATAGATCATGTAAAAGCAGCCAAATAGGGAATCCATAATGGTGAATTTGCCAAGCCATAGAATTAATGCTATTTTGCTCATGATTCAGTTATCAGCCTTGTGTAAACAAAAAAGAATCCACAGTCTTATTCTACAAATGACTACTTTGGACTGTTGTGCTGACATCTGGGAGTGAAATAACAGGATGCTATGGAAATGCAGATATCCTTTCATTCTGCTGAAGCACAGTAATATCAAAAGTGCTCGCAGAGAATTATTTCCAAGAAACCAAGAAGATCAGAAATAAACATTCTTCTTTATGTTTTATTTTTCTCTGGTTAGATGGTGTAGTTTTATTCATTTATCTATTAGATTTAGAAGTTGCCCAATTATAAGTAACTTTGTGAAATGTCACAAACTTCTTTTATAAAAAGATAATGAATGTCCAGAATAACACAACATAAATGGTACATGGAACAATATCCTCCCCCAATAACTGATAGGAATTCAGCAACCATCTTACTCCCAAACCATCCTAGACTATGTTTATGTTAAGAATGCATTAATTCTCCAGAATAAGGTGTTGCTAAGAGTGTCATACTTTTCAGTTTTTAAAAAAGTTGTTCATAGAGCTATACATATAATCATAGGCTCACTATGAGTTTGATTTTAGCTTTTTAATAACAAAGAATGCAAGATCTTGCTATGGTTATTTAACCAAAAAGTGTTTCATTTTTCCCTAATAAATGGAAATAAAGATCCTTCTGTAAATGTTACAATATTTATGACCAATAAATTCCAATTCCAGAAGGAAAAAACCCTCCAAAATTCATTTCTGCAGGACCACATAAAGCTAGGACCAAGTTCTAAAACATAAACAGTGTTTTTGTAATAAAGCATTCACAAGGAATAATCCTTTATGAATACATATCAACTTTTTATGCAATATAAAATCATACATTAGTTGATGTATGAAAATCTCTCCATCTCATCTCACTTCATCTCATTAATGTCAAAGGCAGAGCAGGGTTATGGTTACCATGTCAGTTTCCCTGCCTCCTTCAGCATGAATTAAGAGAAATCCTATTTTTCCAAAAGCTAAACCCTCTTGGCTTAGGTAATTATGACTTCTGGAACCTGTAGCCTCAACACACTGGAAAGGCACTGAGTTGGGGCAGTTGTGTGATGTCGTGTGAAGTGAGATCAGTCACTTCACTAAATCTGCAATATTCTTCCCAATTGTATGTCATTTTGTCCCTTGAGGTTCTAGGCAGCTCCCTATTCCATACCCTTTCTTCTTATATTTAATGTATATTAAACACCATTATTGTCAAATCAAGGATCTTACAGGAGTATCATTAAGACCAAGCAAGAGTTATTTTCCATTTCCTTGCTTCACCTTTGAATTCCTGCCCACACTTCTATTTAAAACAATTGGTGGAATTTAGAAGTCATGCCACATATCTGGCTCAGATGAAGCAAAGGTGTCAATAAGGGAAAAGGAAGACAAAACAAAGAAGAAATACAGGGTTGGTAAAATAACCTTAAACTTTGGCAAGTTTAAAATTCTTAACTGATAAGAACTTGCTTAAAAAACAGAAGGCAAATCAATAATATGTGGAAAAATTAAAGGAGAGTCAAATGTGAATGAAAATATGCAGGGAAAGCATATGCAAAAGGAGCAGAGGGTAGAGAACCATGCAAATGAGTCATATTGTCAATTAACAATGAATTTTATAAGTCATCTGGGACTTCTGGTCTTGTGCAGTAGCGATTGGTTGCGGGCTTGCGGACCGCTGCACCCCCACAGCTAACTTTCATTCTGCCTGGAGACCCTAATGGATCCACGCCACCACGGAGAGACAGCAAAGAAAGAAGGGTGCCCCAGCGACTCTGGAATGACGGCGGTCGTTCCATTCATCTTGGGGAAAGCTTTCTAACCCGACAGGAGAAAGGCTGCATTTCATTGATCAGCCCAAGCTACTTGCAACAGGAGTTCAAAAGAATTAACCAGCACTACAGTAAACAGCGTGCTTGAAACTGGGTGAGGAATCTGATTTTCCCTTTTCTATCCTACACTTAATTTCCTGGAAAAGATCCCCAAGAAGCAAAATACCTCCGAAAGTGAAGGAGGGGGACTTCCGCCCCATCCTTATACTAATGGAGGCGGGGAATTAAAATTTCTATGGAGGATCAAAATATATGGTAGTGAAATAAATTTATAAACTTGAAAGCTAAAATTTAACTTTGGACAAGTTTAAGATTGTTGAATGGTTAAGATTCTCATTTTAAAGACCATTGTTCATATTGAAAACTAAATAGATGCTGACACCTAGTGGTGGATGAAGATTATGACAGCTATGATTTCCATAGAGAATTTACCAAAACCTGGGAAAAGCTAATCTGTGTTTGCGACCTTCAAAGCTTTAATAATAAAGAACAGCTGTGACAAAAAAAGACAACAATCTGGGCTGCAGATAAAGAAAGAATTACAAACTTTAGGGGGAAAATTTTTTTGGGAACTCTTTGGATTACAAATATTTATTTAACCAGACTCTAAAGCTATTTGCAGAGAAGAAGGAAAAATTCAACTTTTGGCCATCATGGATCAGAGACATGTAGACAGAACACACCAAGAAAACATAAATACCTCTCAGGAGGAGATATATAGTATACTGCAATTAATTCAAATAACATTGAGTTCAATCACAAAGAAATGAAAATAACTTTGAAAATACAAATCAATCTGGCTCTAAGTTAACTTTACAACAACAACAACAAAAACTTCCAGGAACAACAATGGAGAAGGAGCAGACCAAACAAATAAGTGAACATAAAATTGAAAATAGAGACTCAAAGACAGAACTTAACAAAGCAAGAAAACATGATTTAATCCTAGTGGGAAAAAATTTACAAGAAATGGAAAAAAACAACTCATCCCTTAAGACTACAAAATAAATCTGAGGACAAAAAAACAGATTGGATAAAATGAAATGTAGAGATGTTGAAAACATCAGACAGAAAGGAAGTGATAAGAGAAGCAAAGAACGAGAAAGAGAAAAATATTTTCAAGAAACATGGAAAGCAAAAGTCTCACATAAAGACACTTTATTCGATTTACTTCTTATACCTATAGCAACAGTCATGAATATATGGGAAAACATTTTGATTCAACAAAACACATTGATCAAGAAAGATATTGCTCAACGGAAAAAGATCAAAGTGAAAATTAAGAAAATAGATGATGGGATCTACCAGAGAGAATATTTTAAAAAGAAATATTTGTTTGACTATAGTTAAAGAAATAGAAAAGATTCTGAATACATATGTCATTCTAAGAGAGATGAATTCCTTAAATGATACTGTATGCTTCCCCCCCTTTTTTATTTTATTTCTTTATATAAGTAATATAATACTGCTGAAATGGCCTAGATGAAGGAAATATTTTAGATAATTAAATGTGTCTGAATTTAGGGAAATTATAATGTTTAAAAAAGAAAAAATGTTATGGATAAGAGTTAAAGGATTAGATGACTAGACACATTAAATGGAATATTTAAAGATTAAATATATTTTTAATCATGGTTAAAAAGAATAAGAAATTTTGGGAATGAATATATATTAGCTTAGGAGGAATATATATTTTAAGTAGTATTTTACTTTTAATGTTTCTTTACTCTTGCTCTTTTTTCCTTTTCTTTACTGTTACCTATTCTTTAAGAAATATAAAAGTGTTGAGATAGTTTATATGGGAAAAATGGATTTAAATCTTTAAATGTAATTATCTGTTGAGAAAATTTTAACCAGCAAGAATACTTTAAACTTTATGGGAGAAACAAATTTAAATAAGGACTGTAATAAGATATAAGATGAGGCAACCAGAATGATTAGATAGAAAAAAAATATTATATTGATGTGATCATTATTTCTAGGAATATTGGGAAAAATAATATATGTAACTGTTATTTATCAAAATAATAAGAACTGTATTATTTCAAAGTTTGCAAAGAAGACATTTTGGGGAAAAGGGGAAATCAACTAAATGTACTATGTGGATTATAGATTATAGAAACCAATTGTTAAGGTTTTTCTTTACAAATGTAAACCCAGCAAACACATTGTTTACCAACTATTAAGTGATTTATGTTTAAAAAAATCAATAAAATGTATGGGGGAAAAAGAATTTTATAAGTCATCTGGAATTCAGTGTGATTTATTCTGAATAGCTTGTATAGAATTATAGTTCTAGATGCCACAATTCACGTAATTTTCCAATATTTACATGAAACAACTATTCACAAATGTTTTATTCTTGCTTGTTATTGTTATATATCCCATCTTTTTGGAGGGCATTCCATGTGGCACAAATGGGAATCTCTCTTCATTTTATTACAATACAGCCCTGTGAAATATTTTGAGGTTAAAGACAGAGGCTGGCCCAAATTTAGGTTCAAGTCCTTAACTCTACCCAGAACTCACTAGTCCTAGTGAAATCTGTGTTGAGTTAAGGACTTGAACCTAAATTTAGAAAGTCTAAGTGTAACATCACTACACTAAGCTATGAAATTCATACCCATCTCTAGATCAACTTCTAAAAAGTTTCTGAAAAGAATATAACCCCTGGCCAAAAAAAGTATCACTTTTCCAGTTCTAGAATTTTCAGCTAAGAATCCTAAAATGTACTGTCAATAATTTTATATCCCAAAGTTCTTATATAAACTTGTACATGGTAATTGTACAGTTTATATGTCAACAGAGATAGTTAGGGAAGAAATAAGTTGTTAAGGTAATGTGCTGTTCTCCTGTTCTCTTCCATCAACTTCACATTTCTGCACACACCAGTATGAGATGGAAAGAGAAGAATTCAGAAGTCAAGTCACATACCTGGTTCATGAACTTCACCAGATGGGAAGTATCATGGATGAAATAAAATTGAGACAATAGAAAACAAGAATATTAGAAAAAGGAAAAAATGCAACAGCCATAAAGTATTTTAAGACAGTATTGAGAAAGACCATGGCTTATTATAGAAAGGGGTAATGCAGTTAAATCTTAAAACATGGAAATATTGTAGGCATATTAGCAAATGCTTTACTAGAATGCAGAGCATGCAAAGGCAGCTTGGACAGACATAAAGATCAAAACTTGCATGCAGAAGATTTGAAAGCCAGTAAATACAGATTGCTTTGAAGGATACAGGTATATTTTTCAGGTACTGAGTTAATTTATGGGGACCATATCCAGCTCCACAGTCTATATATACCAAGTGTTCAGTTTATACCATTCCCTTCACACACATACACTTACATACTTTCTCTCAGGGAATACAGAGGGTGATAGGATATGAATTTAGCTTATACTATTAACACACAAGAACAGCAAAAGGAAAAAAAATCAGCATCTTCCAGGAACAATTTCTAGTTTTTTGTTGCCTGTGCAAAGTCCAGCCAGAACCAGGAGCAAATGCTATTTATCTCTTCCTCCCTTAAGTTTCCAGAAGTTTAATCACACAATGTGATGAGAATTTTGTTACATTTGCTCTATTGTTTGAAAATTCTAGAGACCAATTGTTAGTTTCCATTTCTTGCTGCAGACTAGCTTCAAGGGATCACGTCTTGAATCATCCCAGCAAAATAAGAAGGTGAAAATAATGAAGTTCCTAGAATCCCAAGATCTCTTGTGCCATCATGCCATCACAGAGCCAGTATTGTTTCTAGCAGAAATATTGATACAAATATTCCTTGTCTGCAAAACAGACCATTATCTACAGTACATCTCTGAAGGCCAGAGGCATCTGCAGTGAGCACCATTGGCTTCAAATGCTAGGCACAAATAGGTGATCAAAATCTCATCACTTTTTATCCGTAAGGCATGATAAAAATGGTGGAGCTTTAATTGTCCAGTCCCTGTGGCCATTTTGAAATTAATGTCTATTGTTCTAGATGTCCCTATTTAGGTATTTGTGAGATTGCTGGCAGACATGGCAAAATGAAGCCAATCTACAGGTGACCCAGGAAGAAGCAAGAGTGCACACAGAGAATAACTCTTCTTTCTACTAAAACTTGAATTAAAGTTGCAAACACCAGACTTTACAGATCTATAGCTTAAGCTGAACTAAAAGGCATATATATATATATATATACACACACACATACATACACACACACACACATACATACACACACACACACATACACACACACACACACACACACATACATATATATGTAGGTCTTTGGTTATTCGGGTTTTCTCCCGCGTAAAATTGGAAGTGTCTTGGCAACATTTCGATGAAGTCCCATTCATCATCTTCAGGCTGGTGTTTTTGGCTTCGGGCTTCTAGGAGCATTGCTAGAAATGCTCCTAGAAGCACTAAGCCAAAAACACTAGCCTGAAGATGACGAATGGGACTTCGTCGAAACGTCGCCAAGACACTTCCAATTTTACGCGGGAGAAAACCCGAATAACCAAAGACCTACATACAAACACCCACGAAAACCTCAGAATATGTATGTATGTATGTATGTATGTATGTATGTATGTATGTATGTAAAGAGGTAGATTTAAAAGCACAAAAATTTCAGCCACACGAAAAATGCAGGGCAAATTTGATAGGAAGATGAATTGGAAAAGGTACAGCAGGAATCCATTTGCCACCTTTTTCAAATCTCGTATCTGTAATAGATTCAAATCTTGTGCAAAATCATACTTTGTTTAACTATGATTAATTAAATCAACTGGCTAGGCTAGCATAACCTAAAAAAAAAAATCACTGTTCAAGATTACAAACCACAATGCCTGAAATCACATAAGGCACTAAGTTAAAACCAGCTAAACCATATTATGTCTTTGCATAATGTTGAACCTGCTTGTGTATACGGTACATCCTTCCTTCATATTTGTTTTCAGAAGCATATAGACTACCAAATTGCTGCAAGCAAGATTGCTCATCCAAGATAATTTGGCCATCTACATTGGTTCACAAGCTCATGCTTTGAACTGCATTTTGCCAGAAATCCACATAGGAGTTCCAGAAAGCAACTACTTATATACCTGATACATCTTAAAAGCTCATTCTGGCAATCACATTTTCAACCATGAATACATAAATAAAAGCTGTCATGCATAGAAAGAAAAAGGAGAATTTAAAACCCCAGTTTATCATTGTTTCATTAGCATTTTCCTTCCTGTATTTCTTGAACATCTGTTATATTGTAATTAGCAGCCATATAAATCAATTTAAGAACTGTTTGTTCAAAGGAAGAGCCATCTAAACTGTATTTATCTAACTAATTGATACAGAATGTCATTTCTTTTATTTCAGACATATGTTACCTGAGATGCCATAAATCAGTCACTGAATGAAAGTGACCTTCTCGCCTGTCCTCAGTTGCCGACCAGCCCACTGGTCACAGAGTTTGGACAGGAGTTGTAATCCAGCAAACCCATAAAAGAATAAATAGGGGGAAACTGCCTTATGAAAGTTACAGCTACTTCTGTTTCCTTTTCATTTAATTAGTAAGGATACTACTGTAACCTCATCTTCCCTTTTTCCATAATAGTTTCCTATCATCTCCATTTAAATGCTCAGAAATGAGCAGTATCAACACATACCTTCTTCTTGAGCTTCTTCAGGTGGGAAGCATTGTTAAAAATAAAGAGAGAAACAACAATATAATAAATAATATTATTGTACAGTATTTGTTTAATTGATTTGTAACCCACTTTTTTGATTAGTAACTCACTTCCACAGGGTGAAAAAATTAAAATGCTTCTAACTGTGTGAGGAGCATAAAGTTAAAATGCTTCTAACTGTGTGAGGAGCATAACGTTAAAGGGAAAGGATTTAAAACAATTACAATACTGTAGAACAGATAAAACAAGTCATATGCAGATGGTAAACTGAAATGTTGACTATTTGGCTCTTTTACTTGGATAGGAAGTAAATATGAGGTAAAAAATGCACATTGGTAATCAAAGCTCAATTTTTCTCCCATAATTCAATGTTTTAGTTTATATACCTAATGTAGTGTCTCCCAAATGCTGCATTCCTAAGAGAAAGTCATTGAGGAAGACTAGAATCCAAGTGAGATAAGCTCTCAGTGTATCAATTTTTGAAAAATAATATTCAAAGGAATATTCTGGATTCTTCCACCTCACCAGATTGATGGGGTAATTGTCCAGAAAACAAATCTTTACAACAAGTACCCCGTGCCTTTTCAATGTGTATGCTTCCCTCCCACACACATAGACACTCCTATCTTCTTGCAAAGCAACAATGATAAGAGAACATTTGGACATTGAAAGCCACAATATGAATGATCTTTGATTCTCATATCTATTTCTCCCTGTCCCTTTTCTCATGTGCCTTTTCTTCTGTCTTTTCAGGATTTATTTGTATAAACAAACTTGTACTCTTCTAAAAAAGGAAGAGAGAGAAATACAAAAGCTATGACATACCTTCTTCCTCGACTTCTTCTGATGGAGGGACATAATGGAAGAAGAGGCAAAGATAAAAAGATTAATACACTTAACAGAGCATTAATAGTTGTGAGTTAAGACTAGAGAAATGTAAGATTAGAGAATATATAAACTGGAAATGACCACCTTAGACGAAGACAGATACAGGTTAGGCAAAGATGTAAAACCAGCATCAAAAAGATACAAAGGAAATACCCTCCAGTGAAAGAGGCATGCAGATTATAGACCCATCTAGTCAAGAGATATTTTAAAAAGAGAAAAAAGAGAATTAGGAAGAAAAGAAAGCCCTTCAATTGGAGAAGTTGCCTGTATCAGGTTAGCATCCTTGATTATCTCTTTGTAACTGTAATAAAGTGCTGATGGAATTCAAAAAATGCCTTCATTCGTTTAGCAAGCATTGAATTTTTCTTGACCTAACACAATTATTCAGGGAAATTATTAATAATACTAATATGTTATCAAGTTGTAGTTGTGTTTTTAACATGGTTTTTCTATTGAGTTAGGTCCAAGGTACAGGACTTATTTAGTTCAAAGAAAGACTATAATTCCCCCGGTATGGAAATCCCACAAAGAATTCCCACTTCAATTCCAGTTTTATTCTCCACATTGTACTATTAGGGCAAACAATAATGCACTGTTGAAAACATTCCTGTTTTTTTCATATAGACTAAACATTTTAACTCTGGAGAGCAGTGTTTTTCAAGCTCAGCAACTTTAAGATGTGTGGACTTCAACTCCCAGAATTCTCCAACCAATGTGCTGGGGGATTATAGTGATTTATAGTAAATGGGACAATACTAAAGCCTGCTGTGCCTGAGGAACAGCTCAATACAATGGACCAGCTCCTTTCTTACAGATGGACATACTGTAGAAAATGGCTACTATGGTGCAGTGGTTAGAACCCTATTGGCTACCTGCAGTTCAGCAGTTTGATTCTCACCGGCTCAAGGTTGATTCAGCCTTCCATCCTTCTGAGGTCAGTAAAATGAGGACCCAGATTGTCAGGGGGGGGGGGAGGAGAGAGACAGGCAATATACTGACTCTGTAGAGAGAGCAGTAAAGCACTGTGAAGTGGTGTATAAGTCTATGTGCTATTGCTACCTGCCATGAAGAAACCCATTATATTGATTTTTTTCATTCAATATTGCCAGATTTCTTTTAGAAAAAAATATTCTCCTTGTTTTATAAACCAAGAACAGTAGCAACAAATGCCAAGGCATTGCAAGTAGCCCCCACCTTCAACTGTCTTCACATTATTTGAGGAATTTTCAGCTTAGTGTACAGTATGGCAAATAATATTAACTTGATGACATTATATTAGAAACCCCATCAGCACTTCTATGTTTAAGCAACATAAACAGTGTTATGTTCCTATCCTAAAAGCTTCTTTCAAATTTGCTTCATGGACCAAATTCTGGAATGTATCATGAAATATATCATGGGTGAGGACTTCCGGTGGTCAAAGCGGTGGAGATGGCGGCTACTTTGTAGCCGTCCTCCTGAGAAGGTGTCAGATCCGCGGAGCACAGCGTTTATCAGCTGGCCCGCGACTCGCAATCCCCTTCCCGGGCGAAGGGAAGGGGTAGAGATCGCATGAATAGAGGTAGAACCTCTTAACTCTCCCTGGATTTTTATTTTTAGGGGGGTAGAAAGAGGGTTCCCTCGGAGTTCATTGCCTTCTCCGCCTCTCAGCTGTCTTTGTTTCTTCGGAAACAAAGCGAGACGCCGCTACCATCTCCGTACTTAAAGAAACCGTGAGTAATCTTAAACCGGACAGAACTGTTTAAAGGATTTTATTTATAGTTTAGCTTTATTTTATTTTTTTTAGTTTATTTAGTTTATTTAGTATCTGCTGATTTTTTTTTTATTTTTTTGAGCTTTCTCTTTTTTTTTTGGGCGGAAAAGTGAGAGTGAAAGTAAAATGGCGTTTTGAAAGTTTTTTTTTTCCTTTAAAAGACGGATCGGCTGAATTGTTGTTTAATATTGCTTTTTTTTTACTTTTTTTACTTTTTTATTCTTGGGGACTTTTAGATTGATCTTATCTTATTCTATTTTATCTTATTTTTAATTTTTTTTTTTGGATCATTTATTTTTATTGGTATTTTTAAGAAGAAAGGAAGATAAATTAAAATGGCTTCAAAACGACAACCAGCTACTGCAGCTTCTAAAGTAACTTCTTCTCCTGCTACTTCTACTGTGCAACAACAACTTAAAATAATACCCTCAGTGCAGCAACCTAAATCTACTCCACCTTCACCTCCCCCATCTGGCACATCAGCACAAGACATTAAAGAAATAATGGTAAGTGCTGTCTCACAGTTTAGGGAGGAAATGAAACAACTTTTGGATCAGAATAAATCTGAAACTAAGGAGGAAATGAAGAAAGAGATGAAGGAGCTTTTAGAACAGAATAATGCTATTTTGAGGGATGATATACTTTTAGCTCTATCTGGAATGGCCTCAGTGGTTGTGAAGCTGGACTCCAGAGTAGAGGAAATTGAAGAAACAGTTGAACTTTTGGATTATAAATTTCAAGATATGGAGAAAAAAGTGGAGACTTCACAAGATGATATTCTTATGTTCCAGTATAGACAGATGGAATATGCTTTGAGAATAAGGGGTCTGAAAGAAGATAAAACTCAAGATTTGATGGAAATGGTGATTAATGACTTGGCTGTTATTTTGAATATTGATAAAGAAGAGTTACGTGGGGATGTGGAAAGAATTTATAGAGTTAATTCTTGGATTGCAAAACAGAGGAATTTGCCTAGAGATGTGGTGATATATTTTGCTAAGAAGTCTTTGCGAAATCAGATTCTACAAATTTTTTATAATAAAAGATTTCAGATTGCTGCCCAAGATATTATTATTTTAAAGGAAATTCCACCTAAAATTTTAAGAAGCAGAAAAGATTTTGCTTTTTTAGTAAATGAACTTAAAGCAAGACAAATGCCATTTAGATGGGAGATTCCGATGGGCATTGTTTTGAGCCATGCGGGGACACGTTATAGACTTAATACAGTTGCTAAAGCTAAGGAATTTTATAAAACGGTCCTGGGAGCAGGCTCTCCTTTGCCCATGATGCATAAAGTCTTGAGTGACAAAGAGATGGAACAGAAATCTGAAGGTACAGGGATGATGACTGCTGGACAGGTGGTATGGATGTCTCAACCAGAGGTTAAAGAACAGAGAATGACCCGTGCAGCACATAAACGTAAAGAAAAAGAACAACAGAAAAAAGAAAAAGAAAAAGAAATTGAAGAATCTACTCAGCAAATTGCTTCAGTGCCGGTGGGAGGAGCAAGACCCAAAAGCTCTGCTACATATTCATCAGCAGCAGAATTTGAGCGGATCTTCTCCAGGCTGAAGGCCAAGGGAGATGGCAAAGCTCCTGTCCTGGAATGTTAATGGATTAAACATTCCTCAAAAGAGAAAAAAAATTTACCACTATTTGAAACAACACAACAATGATATTATTTGCTTGCAAGAAACTCATATTACAGCTAAAGATCAAAAATATTTAAATAATCCTCGCTTGGGATCTCATTTTGTATCTCCCGCCCCTGGGAAGAAAGGGGGTGTGGTAATCTATGTTAAACAGAATTTATCTGCTACCTTGTTAGAATCAGATCCTTATGGAAGATATGTTATGCTTGAACTTGGTTTATATGGCAAGAAAATTCTTATTGTGGGGTTGTATGCACCAAACCAGCAACAGGAGCAATTTTATAGGTTACTACATCAGAAAATAACTTTGTTGGACTATAGATCCGTGATTTTAATGGGAGACTGGAATGGTGTCTTAGATATACAAATGGACAAAAAAGGCTCTTCTACCTTTTTTAAACAGGCTAAATTACCTAAAGCCTTTTTTGACATGAAAGAAGATTGGGAATTGAGAGACTATTGGCGTGAACGTAATCAAGAAGAAAAGGATTTTACGTTTTTCTCAGATAGACACCAATCTTTCTCAAGAATTGATTTCTTTTTGATCACAACAGATTTATACAACAGGGTGAAGAATGTAAAAATTTTTCCTAGGACATTGTCCGATCATAGTCCAGTTTGGATGGAACTGTTTGTAGAGAAGGAAGATAGGAGATCCTGGAGGGTGAATGAGAATTTATTTAAACAAGAAAAAAATGTTCATAAATTAAAGGAATGTTTAAAGGAATATTTTACTTTAAATATGAACAAGGGAACATCAATGTCAATGGTCTGGGATGCAAGTAAAGCTTTTATGCGTGGTATTTTGATAAAAATGAATAATTTGCATAGACAGAAACAGATTCAGAAACGGAAAGACTTGGAAGAGGAGATTAAATTAAAAGAGAAACTTTTAATTTCAAATCCCTTAGATGAAAAGATTAAAGGAGCTTTAAAATTGTTAAAAACACAATTTAACATGCTGATGGCTGATCAAGCTGCAACTAATTTGTTATTTATGAAACAAAATACATTTTGTAATGCTAATAAACCAGGGAGATGGTTGGCTTATCAGTTAAGAAAAAAACAGAAACAGAGGAATATAGATAAAATAAATTATAATGGTAAATTGGTTTATCAGAAAGAATTGATTAAGAAATCTTTTTTAGAATACTATCAAAAATTATATAAGGGTACCAATATTCAAATTACAGATATAAATAATTATTTAGGCAAAGTCAACTTTCCTAAATTAACAGAAGATCAGGAAAAAAAGATTAACGGTTTAATTACTAAGGAAGAAATTGTTACAGCTATTAAACAATTGAAATTGGGCAAAGCGCCGGGTACGGATGGGTTGACATCTATTTATTATAAAGCTTTAGTAGAAGAGATGATCCAACCGTTGTGTGAACTGTTTAATAATTTATTACAGGGGTTAGAGATCCCTCCATCCTGGCGTAATGCATTTATATCATTGATTCCAAAAGATAGTCAAGATCTTACTTTGCCTAAAAATTATAGGCCTATATCTCTTTTAAATGTGGATTATAAAATTTTTGCAAAAATTTTAGCTAACAGGCTTATGGGGATCTTGCAGCAGTTTATACATAGGGATCAATCGGGTTTTATAACTGGAAGGTATATGAAGAATAACGTTAGACAAATTATTAATTTATTAGAGTATTTAGAAAAGAATAACCAAGTCTCTGCAGGCCTGATATTTTTGGATGCTGAAAAAGCCTTTGATCAAGTGAATTGGCAGTTTATGCTGTGTTTAATCAAGGAGATGAATTTTGGACAAAATATATTACAAGTATTATCCAATATATATCAAAAACAGACTGCTCAAATTATTGTAAATGGGGGTTTGTCAGAGGCTTTTGTAATAGAAAAAGGAACAAGACAGGGATGCCCGTTGTCTCCGTTATTGTTTGTTTTAACACTGGAAATTTTGTTGATTAAAATTCGGGAGTCTCAAGAAATAAAAGGAATAGAAATTAATAAAAAAGAATATAAATTAAGAGCCTTTGCAGATGACTTGGTTGTTACTTTGTCTCAACCTGTTCTTCGGTGGTGAAATTATTACAATTGATTCAACAATATGGACGTGTTTCTGGCTTTAAAATTAATAATAATAAGACCAAAATATTAGCTAAAAACATGACTAATGGTGATAAACAGGCTCTAGTTAACTTAACAGACTTTGAAATTGTTGATAAGGTAAAATATTTGGGGGTTACATTATCTGCTTCTAATGTAAAATTGTATAAAAATAATTATGAAAAGCTGTGGATGGAGGTACAGAAGGATTTAAAAAACTGGAATAATTTACAGTTATCCCTTATGGGCAGAATTGCAGTTATTAAAATGAATGTCCTGCCAAAGTTTATTTTTTTGTTCCAAATGTTACCTATCTTAAAGAACGAACGTAATTTAGATGAATGGCAAAAAGGTATTAATAAATTTGTTTGGGCAGGGAAAAAACCAAGGGTGAAACTTAAAATAATGCAAGATTTTCGTGAGAGAGGTGGACTCAAGGTACCAAATATGAAATTGTATTATGATGCTGTAGTATTGACATTGATTAGCGATTGGGTGAATTTAACAAATACAGAAATACTTCATTTGGAAGGCTGGGACCTATTTTTTGGATGGCATGCCTATTTAATATTTAATAAAAAAGTGGATTGGGTTTTTAAGTCTCATATTATAAGAAACTCTTTGCTAAGAGTGTGGAGAAAGTATTATAAAAGTGACTTCAAAATACCATTATGGGCTATACCTCGGCATGCCATAGAAGGTATAAGGAAAGGGGTAAATATGGACAAGGTCTCTTACGTACAGTTATTAAGATGGGATGGCCAAGACTGGCAGTTAAAATCTTTGGAAGAATTAACACATGAAAACTTAACTTATTCATGGTTCCAATATAGACAAATAGTGGATAGATGGAAGATGGATTGTAAAATGGGCTGGCTTAGAGAAGATGGAATTTTTTTAAAACAAGTAAGAGATCAAAGGCCAACCCATATTAAGAGAGTTTATGGGGTTTTAGTGGAATTAGATTCAGAACTTGAACTAGTTAAAGATTGTATGATTAAATGGGCACAGAATATTGGTGAAACGATTTCAATGGATACTTGGGAACTTATTTGGATAAGAAATGTTAAATTCACACAAGCGCAAAATTTAAGAGAGAATTTTTATAAGATGTTTTATAGATGGCACCTTGACCCAAAGAAAATGTCCATTATGTACCCTAATCTACAGCCGAAATGCTGGAGATGTGGATATTTGGATGCTACCTATTACCATATTTGGTGGACGTGTAAGCATATAAAAGCTTTTTGGATTAAGATATGGTGGAATATTCAAAGAATTTTTAAAAGAAGGGTAAAATTTACTCCGCAATTATTTTTACTAGGTATTGTTATTGACTGTGATGCTAAGGAGGTTATATTGATGTTAAATTTGATTACAGCCGCTAGGTTGTTAATAGGACAATATTGGAAGAAGGAATCTTTGCCTACTTTACAAGAATGGTTTCATAAAGTTTCGTATTTGGCAGAAATGGCAAAGATTTCGGCTTTCTTAAAGGAGCAATCTCAAGAAAAATTTTTTGCGGTATGGGAAAAATGGATAAATTTTATACAACATAATTTGGATATGGAAAAATATTATTTAGCCTTTTTATAATTTGTAATGATTGTTTTTTCTTTCTTTCTTTCTTCTTTTTCTTTTTTATATATATACATTTTTAATGTATTATTATTCATATAATTTTTTTTTTTTTATATATATATATGCTTTATTTTTCGTCTACTTTCTTCTTTCTTCTTTCTCTCTCTCTCTTCTCTTTTTATTTTTTATTTTTTTTCTTTTTTAGTATATATTATTCATTTTAAAGTTTATGTTATGTATATTATTTCTATATATATTATTACTGTGATTTTTATTATTATTATTAATTATTTTATAAATTGCAAATGTTATTTTTAAAATATTTGTTAAATAATCCTATATTCAGTTCTGGGAAGTCGGGGGGGGGGGTGGGTGGTTGGGGAGGGGGGGGTGGATTTTTATTTGTAAAACTTTTGAAAAATTTCAATAAAAAAAAAAAAAAAAAAAAGAAATATATCATGGGTCAAATTCTGGAAAATAATAAACTTAGCACTGGTGACCCTCTGAGAAAGCAAATCTTCTGATCTCCTCCTTCCAAAGAATTGCTATGCAGAAATGTTATCAATTCATGAATCCACTCAAAACGTAGTCATTTTCCAATTTATTTTATCCACATGGACATTTAATTTAGCGGATTATCAAGCTGAAATATTATGGTGGGAATTTCTGCAACTAAATTTTGCCATTACAATGGCTATAAAATAAATTTAGTTGAATGCGCAAAAGAGCAATCCAATAACTACTTGGTCAAGATTACTAACTTCATTGTCACGCTCTGATCTTGAGCCTTTAGAATTAAAAGCACAGGCCAATTCATAGTAATTAGGTTTCCATTTTTTCCCAGATTTTCGATCATCTTTCACAGACAGTAGCAAAGAGATAGATGGATGAACAGGCAGTGAAAGAACTGATGATCAATGGATCATCAGAGAAAGAAAAGGTTCATTCCAGGGTAAGTTTCTGTTACCTTCTTCTTCATATTCCTCTGCATTGAGAGAGAAAAACAAAAAAAGGAAACAAGAAAAGCAGCACAATCAAAAACATTGCTTAGCACTGCAACACAAAGACTGACATGGAAGATAAACGCTTGCTGAGGATAAAACCAACCTTTCTTACTAAAGGACAGAAGACAAAAAGCTACCAGTTCTTTTCATAAAAGAAATCAAGTTTAGGAGACAATTAAATGCAAAAAAATAATAATGATAATACATTTGGTCCATGTAAGAATGAGAAATTTAAACAAGAGTTTGCAGAAGAGACTTAAAATTCAGATCTAAGATTCCAAGATGTAAGAATCCCACTAAAATAACAAGCTTATACTTCTGCAAAGTAAAAATATATTGGTTGGAAGAAGAAATTCACTGGCTGACCAGGACATCTGCAGGATGGGTCAAAAAAGTCAAAATAGTGACTAAAACCACACAATTGAAGCCCCAGGCTGGTGGATATCCTTATTGCCTGCCCAACATTACTCTGATACAAGGAAATTCTAGCTTTAACTAAATTCATCAGATTAAGCTTTGCCTATAAAAACATTAAACATGCAAAACTTGAGAAGACTTTGTTTTCAATCAGTTGATCATGCTTATATCTGAACCACATTGAAGCTTTAGTGACTAGGGGAATGACTTAATGACTGTTTTTTTATTATTATTATATTCTGCTCAGAATCGCCCTCCATCAGATAGGCTGTCATATCCTGACAGAACAATTAATCAGTGAAAAGATTTGCCTCCAGAAGTTGTGAATGCTCCAACACTGGAGGTTTTTAAGAAGAGATTGGACAATCATTTGTCTGAAATGGTATAGGATTTTGTGCCTGGGGGTTGGACTAGAAGATCTACAAGGTTCCTTTCAACTCTGTTATTCTGTTATAAATTTGAATAATAAATAAAATAAATAAAATGATAGTGCAGTTTCCTCCAGAAAATGTTTTTTCCTTAATTAACATGTGCTCATGTGTTGAAATCATTGGAAATTTTTCTATGGATATGATCACTGAAAGCATTCTAGTGATCTACTATTTCAGCAATAGAGAGTTCTTATAAATATACTAAATATTGCTGCTGTTTTGATGGTCATATTAACAGGAATTCTCCACATACACTGTATTATTATTATTTCTTGCTCTCTTTTGGACATGGAATGAATAATGGCAACAGTATATTTTTGTTCTGATATGATAGAATCACATGGTGATTATTTAAAAACTAAGATTCCATGCTGATATTTCATGAACAGGCTCACCCTACATATCTGTTCCTCTCAATTGTTCAAGCTGAGATAAAACTTCATCTCAGATTTCTTTAGGGAGATTCTGGTGAGTGACTTCTGGCCAAAGCAGATAATAATAATAATAATAATAATAATAATAAAGTTGGAAGGGACATTGGAGGTCATCTAGTCCAACCCCCTGCTTAGGCAGGAAACCCTATCCCATTTCAGACAAATGGCTGTCCAGTCTCTTCTTGAAAACTTCCAGTGTTAGAGCATTCACCGCTTCTGGAGGCAGGTTGTTCCACTGGTTAATTGTTCTAACTGTCAGGAAGTTTCTCCTTAGTTCTAGGTTGCTTCTCTCCTTGCTTAGTTTCCACCCGTTGCTTCTTGTCCTGCCTTCAGGCGCCTTGGAAAATAGCTTGACTCCCTCTTCTTTGTGGCAGCCCGAGATATTGGAACACTGCTATTATGTCCCCCCCTCGTCCTTCTCTTCACTAAACTAGGCATACCCAATTCCAGCAGCCATTCCTTATATGCTTTAGCCTCCAGTCCCCTAATCATCTTTGTTGCTCTTCTCTGTACTCTTTCTAGAGTCTCAGCATCTTTTTTACATCGTGGTGACCAAAACTGGATGCAGTATTCCAAGTGTGGCCTTACCAAGGCATTGTAAAGTGGTATTAACACTTCACGTGATCTTGATTCTATCCCTCTGTTAATGCAGCCTAGTACTGTGTTAGCCTTTTTGGCAGCTGCAGCACACCGCTAGCTCATATTTAAATGATTGTCCCAAGATCCCTCTCACAGTTACTGCCTATACTATACCTGTGTATTTGTTTTTTCTTGCCTAAATGTAGAACCTTGCTTTTTTCACCATTGAATTTCATTTTGTTAGATAGTGTCGAGTGTTCAAGTCTGTCCAGATCCTTCTGTATCTTAAGACTGTCATCTGGAGTGTTGGCTATTCCTGCCAGCTTGGTGTCATCTGCAAATTTGATGAGTTCCCCATCTATCCCCTCATCCAAATCGTTGATACAGATGTTGAGGAGCACTGGGCCCAGAACAAAGCCCTGGGGCACCCCACTACACACTTCCCTCCATGTAGATGCGGTTCCATTGAGGACCACACACTGAGTACGGCCGGTCAGCCAGCTACGGATCCATCTGGTGGTGATGCTGTCTACCCCACATTTTTCTATCTTATCAAGTAGTAGGTTATGATCTACTTTATCAAATGCCTTACTGAAGTTCAAGTAAATTATGTCCACAGCATTCCTCTGATCCACTAATTTTGTCACTTGGTCAAAGAATGCAATAAAAAGCCATCTATATGAGATAGCCATCTTATGCAATGCCATCAAAGCCATTCTTAAGAACTTACACCACTTCTTGACTAGAACCCAGCTAAGGGACAATAATACCTGAGCACAATTCATGTATCAGAAAACTCTCATGACAAAGTTATGGAAGTAATATGATTTAAAAAATGTGGGGAAGGGGTACTGAATTTTATTTCCATAGAATTATTTCTGGTCATGGTAACTCATTGGGAGCAAAACAGTATGAGGAAATACAATTATAGTAAAAGTATAGTTATATATTCCTTTTGTTCACACAAATTATACTTTAAATTGTAAGTTAATTTTAATATACCACGTACGTTTATTGAAGACAAATGAAGTCAGGAAAAATTCATCCAGCTAAGCTATATAATAATAACAACTTTATTGTCACTTTGAGTGTACACCAATTGGTATACCTCAAAATGAAATTTCGTTGCATGCAGCTATCAAAGGGTCACCACCTCCAATATATACTCCTTGTTTGTGGCCAGTTCAAGTTATTATGTATGTTCAGGTTGATCTTCTTTTAAGGACTGCTTAAATAAACCAACTTTCCACTGAGTGCAATCACAGACTAGCTCTCAAACTGAAATTGTAATCATGTTAAGCAGAAAATAACCCATCTAGTTGAAATCCTTGGGAATTTATGTTATTTGTTTGTATCTAGAGGCTGCTCAATTCCTGATAACTCTGGGCAGCTTATTTTATAAAATAAGAGTAAGTAAAAATAGAAATAAATAGTCTGAGCATTAGAAGGAATGTACACAGAGGAAAAAAGCTGTAGGAGCTCAGCACCAGCTAAGTAAATCTGCCCAGGATGAGACTTTTAGAAATATGGTATTCCATTAAAGCTTTTTCTAATCCTCTACCCTTATGTACCATGCTGTATTAGCCAGGGATTATGGCAACCAAAATTCAATATCTCTGGAGACCTGCAGAATGGGGAATTTCTGTGTTACATGAGTCGTCAGAGATGTTTGTTTCAGATCCTGCCTCAATACAAACGTTCATTCTATATGTATTCTTGGCTATGTTCAAGCAAAAGAGCTTTGTGATTTCAATATGCTATAAATAGTATCAATTTGAGCAAAAGACTTTTAAAAATGAACGTTATATATATATGATCCAAAGAAAATAAAAGAGGAAAAGCTACATCCAAAGCTAATAAAGTCTTTTTACTTTTGTTTGCAAATACAACAAAGCCAGCTTCCAAACAAACATACACAAATGCAAGAGACTAACATAAAATGTGTAATGGAAATGATCGATGTCTTTAGTTCATCAACCTTGTTCAAGGAAGACAGACACAAAACTAAGCAGTATCTAGTAATCGTTCCCAACCTGCTATGCCACAGACACATTTTAAAAGGCTCCCTCACTCTATAATGCGTCACCAACAGATGGCAGCAGCAGCTCTATAACAACAAAGCAGGAAAATAAAAATAAGAAGGGCAGGAAGAAGAAGGAATAGGATAAGATGCCTATGGTATGGAAACCTAAACAGATATTGATTTTGTGGTAAATTCAATACAAGCCACAAGTTCGTGCATCTATGAAAATGCTGCTATAAAACGGCAGGCTAACCATAATTATATGCTGTATCTGCTGAACACAGAATCAGAAATATGTCTAAAAACGCATACACAGCACATAATACTCCGGCTTCAAAATTAAGGGACCTTGGAGCACAAGACATTTGGAAATTCTTCTTGGAGCATACAAATACCATACATGATGTTTTCAAGGCAGGGAGAGGAAGAGGGGTCAATTTCCATCCTTTCCCCTCAGCATGGAAAGGAGGCAGTTAGACCTGAACTAGGTAACTTGATGTGACTTATCTTAGATAACAACTAGTAAGAGCTATTGTGGAACAAAGCCACAAAAGGGAGATGAGGAACAGGCTGGGACTGTTTCCTGAATACCCTTTTTTGTATTGAATGGTTCTTATTTCCCAGCAATCTCAAACTCAGTGGGACAACAGGTGGAATAAGGAAGCATGAGAGATCTATTTATTTAAAATTGATCTCCACAACATAAATCATGACAACTCAGTTAAAAACTAAAGTACGTCTTATTGGTCAAAGTTTGGTAACTTTAAAACATTGGACCACAAAATTAAATTGGAACAATGATTTATTTTACAGCACATTCATATAAGTAATTACTCACCCTCTACTTGCTCCCTGTAAGAAAGCAAAAACAAAGAAAAAGAAATCAGACTAAATTTGCCTGTCTAGAAATAAGACAAACTTCCATGAAGCCTAATCCTGGGAAACTATAGATTTTTTTACATTTTTTGCTTTTTATATACTGATAAGTTAATCTGGTCATCCCCAAATGTGCATCCTTCAGATGTGTTATATCTGCAATTTGAACATAGTGGTAGGTAAGGTTCAATGTTGTATTTCCAATACATTTGGAATATTCCAAGTCTGGAAAAGCCAATCCATATTTCCAACCTTCTGCAATATTATTCAATTTAGCTCCCAGAATTTGCCAAGAAAGTTTGTTCTCATGCTTGAATCATTATTCTGAGCTCATTTTATTAAGTTGTTTCAGGTTTCTCTCCAAAATCCAATTTTGTGAGCCAGTTCTATCTTCACCTTTATTATCGCTCTGCCATCAACTAATTCATGGTCCTCTTAGATAATATCACCTGAGCCACCAAGGTTAGACTCTATAAAATTGTTTTCTTCTAACATTCTATCAGTGACCAGAGGGCTAATCCAACTTCACTTAATAGTTTTTGTAAGTAGGAAATACAGTGGTGGGATTCAAATATGTGAACAACTGGTTCTTTGTGTGGATGCCACTTCCGGAAATCCATTCTGGGCCTGGGCAACAAAAAAATAGTTACCAGTTCTGCCAAAGTGGTGAGAACTGGCTGAATCCCACCACTGAGGAAATATCTTTTAAAGTATCTTGGAAATTGACATCCTTACTGTACAGAATTTTAGCGTATTTCTTCTGTCATTGTTTGATGTCTTTGAATTAGTTACTATTTGTCCACTGACATTTTTAGCACACTGATTTGAGGTTGAAATCACCTTCGGAGTTTAGAGATGCTTTGGAAAACTTTTCTGTGTTTCTTTCCATCGGCAATGTCTTCACAGATGACACTATAAGATTGTTTCTTGTCTCTTCTGAATTTTTTTATTAAATTCCTTCTGGAGATCATTTCTTTGTTGTCTCTATCTTCTTCTTGGCAATTTCCACCATTTCTTATGACATTCAGTTTGTGTCTCCTCTTTCTTAGTATGTACTGGTAGCAGGTTTTTTTTTAACATTCATCTTTCACAATTTTTTTTATTTCATTCCAGTTTCTCTGGTTCTCTCTCAATGGGGTTCAAAGCAATTCCCGATGTTATCTTTAATCCGATGGATCAAGATTGCATCATGGAAATAGTTTGATTTTCTTCTTTCATTTTAATTTTACTCAGAACTTGCACACGAGCAGTTTTTGATCTGTTTAGCCTCCTGCCATGTTTTTGCTGTTATAACTAAGCTTTCCCACCATCTTTCACAAATAAAATAATTAATTTGAAATCTCCGTAGTCCACCTGGTAAAGTCTATTTACTCTGGTTGTTGGAAGACTTGTAGTACACTTATTAAGGACACAGGGATCCATCCTCAATTTGCATCTGATCACTTAAAAAGTAGAATGCTTTCTATTTGCTTTCTTATATACAGGGGTCCACACATACATACCGTGTTTCCCTGAAAATAAGGCCCAACCAAAAACAAGCCCTGGCATGATTTTTCAGGATACTTGTAATATAAGCCCTACCCCCCAAAATAAACCCCAGTTAAGATCGACAGTCAGACGGATGCATTTAATACTTTATTTCTCCGAAAATAAGATCTAATGTGTCTTTTGGAGCAAAAATTAATATAAAAAATCCAGTCTTATTTTCAGGGAAACATGGTACATACATACATACATACGTATATATTCATACACAAATACAAACACATATTAAGATATAAAAAGTTATATTTACATAATCTCCACATTATCTCCCTCATAATTATAATACACACTGTTAAGAAGTTACATTCTGCACAGACTCATGCAAGCAATAAATAGCATAGTATATACATTTTATACATCAATAAAAATTGCATTTGACAGAAGGCAAAATGCTATTTTTTTTCTTTTCTTTTTTGACATTTGAATCAAGCAACTCTGACATATTAACCTACTTGATTATTAAACACTTTGATTCATTGTCTTTGGAACAGAATTTTGATCCTTATACCTATGAAGACCAGTAGTTTGGCTCTATCAAAAAATGCCAACCAGCAAAGATCTTTACCAATTAATTAACAAGTTTGTTTCTACTTACACTTCTTCGGTGTCAGACATTTTGGCAGAAGGTTTCTAGATGAAAAAACAAATACAGGCCAGAGTCAGTCTCAGTGCATACACTTAAAATAATTTATTTGTGCAACAATGGCAGTTTAGTTAATTGAAATTACTTTTTTTAAAAAATAATACAGTTCATAAACTTTAAATAGTCTATATAGCACAAAGCTAGTTTTGTCGCCTATGAAGCAGGACCTTAATATATTTATATTATATTATAATTATATTATATTTTATAATGCTGAACTTCCGGTCAGGATAAAATACCAAAAACTCTCCTCATCAAGTTCACCTAACTGGACTCAATTATTAGGGTCAATGGAAAAAAATCTCAACCTACAACATGTCCTATACATATATAGCCTCTTAAATCATGCTAAAGTCATGTTTGATATTCCATGAGACTAGCTTTCTGCAATCTGGTACCCTCCAGATGTGCTCAATTACAACTTCAATAAGTCTCTGCAAGTATATTTAATATTTATTTAATATTTATTTGTTATGTATATGTAGGGGTGTGGGTCTATACATATGTTGTACATAGTATGTTTAAGTATGTGTCATGTATGTGTTTCACTTTGAGAGCGGGCAACTAAATTTCATTTTTGATGTGTGCCGTTGTGCCCACAGTGAAAAAAAATGACAATAAAGGTTATCTATCTCTTTATCTAAGTATATCCAATGATTGTCTTGATTGGGAATTAGGAAAGTTCCAGGTAAACCTGGAATCTGATCTCTAGTATGAAGACTGGTGCTTTAGACCTTCTAAGCTACTATGCCAACCCTAGCAACAACAAAACAGTCTAATATTATTTAATAATCTACAAATTATGTTTCTTATTAATAAGTGTCAAGACTGATGATTCTTAATGCTATCAAACAAAAGGCATTGTGGAGATAGTCCCTAACAATTTTCTAGGAGCATCCATGATCATATAGGTGGTTTATAATTTATTTACTTACTTACTTATCAGATTTATCCCACTCACAGAGCAATCCTTGTAATACACAATACTATAAAGCTTCATGGTTCCCCCCTCCCCCTGCCCTTATTTATCTTCCCAAGAACTGAAATTGCAAATCGGTGGGGCTGATTTTACATTTTATCCCAGGCCCAAACACAGTATTTTATCAACTAGGTCACACAGACGAAGTATGCATATAGTATGTATATACCATGCCCAGACACACCCTTAGTTTACTATACACAGAGTAGTTGTTATGGTTACCAAGCTTGTATTCATACCAAGACAAATATGTCCAGATCAGCTGCATCTGTACTTACGATGAAAACAATAATGCCAGAAATTACAAGGCTATTTAAGTAATATTATTCCATTAGTCCTTATATTTACAACAGCCAGCTTTCATACCATTGGGTATGAAAATCATGAGAAGTTTTTTATTCTCACTAATAGCATAGATTATCTTCAGAACATGTCTTTGTTTCACAAACGACTAGCAAAGATGACCTCTTTTTGTTTAGGAAACTAAACGCTAGTGCCTTTTGGGTTACGTTTTACCTCAGAGAAGAAGAATTTTTGCCCACTTTGCACAAAGCAAACCTTTGCATCTCAGATAAGGATGGAAACCACAACAGCTGAATTTCTTGGGAGACATAAGTACACGTTTGCAGAATAATTTCTGAAGAGTTCAAAAACCTCAAGGAGGTCACTGATAGGTATTATAGGAATATTTTTTTTCTGACACCCACCGAAGTCCCAGAGGGGCGAAGCTCTCATTAGAAAAAACAGAGCTGCTCCCAAGGAAACCCAAGCCTGGTCTTAACTTAATTACTCAGCTGATACTTGAGAGGACTCTTGAAGGAGCAGCAGATGGATGGATGTCCCAAAGAACATCTGCAGCTTACAAGGTTTCTATTTTAGAAGATCAAATATTCCTGGAAGCAATCACCTTGCCATATAAGGGATGGTACATGGCTCCAAGTGACAAAACATAATGGTACAATGTACCCTAAACACCAAGAAGGCTGTGTGCTTACTTGTTTTGTTTTTTTTTGTACAACATTTTGAAGTTCCAGGTGTTCCAATCATAAATAAATAAAACAATCAAGGAAGATATTAATTTAGTTTAAGAGGACAGAGCAAGCCGATTTCATACAGAAAATAATATTTAAAAAGAATCAAAAGAGCCACTTACACATTTTTTCAACACAGAACAGCAATAGCAATAGCACTCAGACTTATATACCACTTCACAGCACTTTACAGCCCTCTCTAAGCAGTTTACAGAGTCAGCATATTGCCCCCCCCCCGCCAATAATCATTTTACCGACCTCGGAAGGATGGAAGGCTGAGTCAACTTTGAGCTGGTTAGAATCAAACTCCTGGCAGTCGGCAGAATTAGCCTGCAATACTGCATTCTAACCATTCTGCCATCACAGCTCTTTGATCTACAGAATTCTTAAAGTTTTCCTGGTTTTTGGTGGATTCATATCAGGGAAGAAATGAACAGACTTTATTTGGAGATTTGAAGCCACTTTGATCAAATCTGTGGATGAAATTTATTCTCCCAATTGAATTGGATGCTCCAAAATTTATAAACTGATTCAAATTAGTTTAAATCTATGAATAAGTTAAATACGTGAAGCTGCCCAAACATACTGACAGAACCTGAAAGCTAATTTAGGTAGCTGAAAGAACATGGTGATTTCTACTGTTGGCTCAATATTAAAAATTGGCCAATAATTTGTGTCAACTCACTGTTATTATTCTAATAATTATTAACATTTTTCTAACAATTATTAAAGTTGTGCACCTCTGCATTATTCTCACTTTTCTTGATCACATTTTAGAAGAGAGTAAGGTCAGGCTGAAATCTAATATTAATGACATTTTATTTACAATAAAACTGTATTAATACTGAAAGAAATATTCTTACAATATTTAGTAATTTAAAACTTCTACCATTCTATCATGTTAAAATTATAAATTTAGGATTTCTTGGGTCACATTTAAGGCTTTCAGAAGTCACATGTGACCTAAGAATCCTGGACTGATCACTTCTGGACTGTGGGCTCATGTTCCTCAAACTTCCAGATGCTAAGTCAGCAACCTAAATTACTTCAAGATGATCTTATTTCTTGTAGGTTTGTGTGCAAAGTGGAGGCAAAAACAAAATGTGCATCATGACATCAAAACACATGTTTTGTCTTTGTCTTTGTTTCTTTTTGTCATTGTGATTTGTACTAGACTCCTATATCTTCCTTTCATGGCAATGGGCCTAAAATATGTTAGTAGAAAATGGGGATTTTACAGCTCTAATATAAACCTTTTTAAGATACAGGTAGTCCTCGGCTTACGACACAACTGAGCCCACAATTTCTGTTGTTAAGTGAGACATTTGTTAAGTGAGTTTTATCCCATTTTATGACCTTTCTTGTCTCAGTTGTTAAGTGAATCACTGCAATTAGTAAGTTAGTAACCCAGTTGTTAAGTGAATCTGGCTTCCCCATTAACTCTGCTTGTCAGAAGGTCGCAAAAGGGGATCACGTGACCCTGGGACACAGCAACAGTCATAAATACAGTTGCTAAGCATCTGAATTTTGATCACATGATCATGGGGATGCTGCAAAGGTCGTAACTGTGAAACACAGCCATATGTCCCTTTTTTCAGTGCCGTTGTAACTTTGAATGGTCACTAAATGAACTGTTGGAAGTCAAGGACTACCTGTACATCTAGACTAAATAACAGTGGGTTTTCAAGTAGTCATTATGACACTCTTCAATATTCTTATTCTACTGACTTGTCATGGAAAAGAGCCCATCTGGAGTCTGAATACTTACTATATTTGTTTATAAACTGACCGTTCCCAAGAACACTAGCTTTGAGAACAATAGGTCCCAGAATTGCTCTCAAGGACAATATGGTGCTGGATTAGAATCACACTGCTTAAGGCAGCTTAAAAATAGTCCTATAGATTTAAGCAACTGTGGTTGACCTATTTAGAAAGAAAAAAGTTGGCCCCTCCAAATCACTATCTAATATGGGGACTTCAATCTCTCTCATGAATGGTCTGGCTTTGACCTCAGGTTTCTAAAATGAAAGTACCTCTGAACAGCAATATAATACAAAGAGAAGTGAAAAGTTTGCAAGAACTCCTCCAGATGTGGCAGACCTGCAATTGGGAGTTTCTGGGAATAAAATCTATGACTGCAAGGACATAATCCCATTTTTAAGATGCGTAAGTGTCCCAATCCAAAACGTCTCGACTTTTTATCATGCTCGAAAAATGCTCACATAGATTTGTAAGGTTCTGAGACAATCACAAGGGCACAGAAAATCTTCTGTTACATCATTGCTAGCTTGTATGGCTTTTCCTCTATTTCAGACACATCAAACTCGCGACATTACATTGCGCAACTTATCAGGACGGTTTTGCCATTGCTGGAAATGGGGTGGGCACGGTTTCCGCATGATGCGTCTGGCCTGCAAGCCGGCAGTTTGACACTCCTGCTCTGTTTAATAAATACCCTCCACAATTGTGGGCTGCTTTCCCCCTTGCATCAAGTTGGTAGCTATAGTTCAAGGTAACCTAGGGAAAGTTGGCTTTATTGCATCTCTTGCCTCACATAATAGCCACCGCGGAGGCACCCAGCAGAATCTGGCTAAATTAGCCAATCTGGGATAAAAATTTAGCATATGGTCATTAACCAACTTTAATATACTGAGGCTTCAGCCTAAAACCAGTATTCAAATGCCTAATAAATATTACTTTAAAAAGACATACACACAGAAGCCTGCTGATTCAGCCAATCTTGATATGCCTAGGTCATAATGCCCGTTTATTAAACTTATTAAACTGGTGCAGCTACACATGACTGCAGCACTGCCACAGTGTCTAGATGTGAGAAAGTTAAGAGAGACTCCAGAGAACTTTCTCTTCTCAATGAAAAATACCCCATTCACACATAATGAACGAGGAGCACTTTGGTCTAATGGTGAAGGCACCGGTCTAGAAACCAAGAGACAGTGAGTTCTAGTCTCATGTTAGG